GTCTCCATCCCTGGAAGTATTTAAAAGACGTGTAGATGTGGTGCTTAGGGACATGGTTTAGTGGTGGACTTGGCAGTGCTAGGTTAACAATTGGACTTGATGATCTTAAAGGTCTTTTCCAACCTAAATGATTCTATGATTCTAAAAGCATCTATTGAAATCCCTGACAGACCTGTAGTCAAACAAGGCCTAAGACCACAACCAGTAATACACAAGAGGATTTATGCCTCTTCCCATATTACTATTCAACTTTCCCAAAGACTTGGCCTATGCAAATTCAACTCTAAGAAAAAAAACCATTATGGATAACATAGTGAAAAGTCTGGCTAAATGGCAACTTTACAAAGGAGCAGTTCTAAACCCTCAATAAAAGCTGTTTTCTACAAGAACGGTTATAAAAAGCATGAAACAACAACAACGGCCACATCCACCAGAGACCCTGTAATATATTTTCAATGAAGTCCACGGTTCCCTATCCTATTCCAACTCCCCAGAGACCTCAGTAAGTGGTGGCTTTATGCATATTCTTGATGCAAGGCATGACAGGCTTCAGAATAACATTGCTAAAATCTCTTTCAGAGCTTCAGAATAACATTGCTCTAATCTTGCTGAAGTTTGGTCGCAGGCATTTAAAATACTGAATTGGTTACATGAGGAATCAGATAAACTCAAATTTAAAAACAAAATAGCTACACTATGCTGTAATACCTTTGGGTGAGAGCTACTAGCTGACGTTTTCAGGCAGCCTGTGAGCGGGCACACAGCTGCGCAGCTTCACTGACCCGAGGTCAGGACTGCAGCACATCCATCCGCACACAGAGCCATCCCGCCCCTTCTGAATGCTCCGCGTTTTCTGTTAAATCATCTGTGGGCGCCAGACAGGGTTTGACTGCTATCACTTGGAACTCACATTTTTGTCACAGGAAGTTATTAACTCCAGTTTTAAATTGTAAGGGTTAGTGAGATTAACTATAGCTTGAAAAAACAAAACTGCAATGTAAATTACTGTACATTATCTAAATGAAATTAAAGTGAGCCAGTGAACCTATTCTGATTTATACTGTCTGAGGATCTGTCCCTTCGGCTGATCTGACCAAAAGATACCACAATGCTGACGAAAAATGGAATTTCCATCTTGCCAAATTCCAGTACTCTGACCTCTTTATCCCAAGCTGGCAATAAAGTTTGAAATTTCAACATGCTGCATAGAACAAAGCTAGGTAAGTATCAGTTAAAAAAGCTGAAATACTTATTAAGATCATTTGATCAAAGTGATTTATTTCAGCATTTCCAAATGGAGACACTTTATATTTAAGGCTGGTAGGTGGTTGCCTTATAAATAAATGAAGAAATAAAACAAAAATCATATAATGCATAGAATACTCACCTGTTTAATTTGGTGTTTATTTTACTGCCTACTTACTTTGGCAATTATTATTAGATATCTTCCACTGTAATAATGTTTTTGGGTTTTTTTTGCTCTTATGCGAAACCTTGTAGTGAAAATGTTTGTTCTATAATATTGGTAAAATATGTCAGACAAATATTTGCTGAAGCCATCAAATGTTTCAATGAGACAATGTTTATTCTGTAGTAGTGGTAAAATATGTTGTGCAAATATTTGTGTATGAGCATCACAAGACAAAAACTTGCCTCTCGTTCAACCTTTAATTTAGAATAGTTTGAAGTGATTAAGATGATGATGAAAAGGACTAGGGAAAAAAATATTAACACGACCCAGGAACCTGCTTGTGTAAGAAGTTGCTGTCTACTTGGAATCTAATTCAGAAGATACTGAAGACCACTGGGCAATTATTAACCTCTGAAGTTTTAATTTTGGGACACTTTTAGCTAGGACAGCTAAGCAGGCCACCTAGTCAGTCTTTTCCCCACTTTACCTGCTCGAGCATCAGCTCTCTCAAGCGTGTGATCTTCTCTCCATCCTCTGGATGGTTCAAGATGTATTCTTTGACAAAGAATGCCTAAGCAGAATAAAATCACAAAGTAACATAAAGTGAGTAAAAACACATCACTTCTTTTTTTAAGCAAGTTTCTGGATTATATTTTTGAAACAAGACCTTCTTTCTACTGCAACAGAGGGTAACAAATGATAAATAATTAATTATTCACATATGCATTGGTGGAGACTATGGGCAAATAAAATGTAGCTACTCGAGTGGAATTTACCAGTTGTTCAATATTGAGGTCAGATCCTGAATCAAATTTGGAAACCTGCAAATCAGAGTTGAAACCAAACACAGGTCACCTGAACTAAGTATCTCTTCCCCATTAATTGTGACATAGGAGTTTCAAATAATTACAAAGATTTAGATTTTCCTGTCTTCTCATACTAGGAGCTTCATTATACCTTAAATATAAAGATATCTTAAGAACAGTGTGGAATTGTATGCCATTATATGTATTGGAGCTGTGACATTATCTTCTTATTCACTCAATATAAATAATGTTTGAAAGAACTCACAGTGACATTGATGTCAAAAAGCCACACTTTTCACTTCAGGAGCATCTGACCAACATCCAGGTGTGTTCGTGGGCTTACATGACTTTCCGCCCCATCTCCAATGCTCCAATTGTACCAGATATAGTAGCCCAAAGTCATTTTACCCACCAGCAGTGGCCTGGACATAGCACTCCCCTGTTTGTTCACGATTGCATCTTTCTTAACATGGCACCTATCCTACCCTGCAAGGGGATTATATTGAATTTACAACAATTCTTGACACTATTCTGTAAAGAAAATGCCCAGCTGCTCGGTTGGGAGATTTCTAGACCTCAAAAATGCATTTGTCACAAAAAGTGTCTGTATGCATACCTACACGCACACATGGTTTTCTATCCATAAAGTTGAGAGGATAATAGTGGCTGCTCTGTGCTGTGTTTTCCTTTTGCACCTGTCTTAGCATTTCCATCACATACTTCTTACAACGTTCTCCATCCAACTTTAGCTGTTAAAATCTTTGCTATGCAGAATCATTAGTAAATATGGGGAGCAGTGGAGCTGGAGATAAATATACCCCTTCCTCTGATTCAGTTCCAAAATTTCATGCTGGGACAACCCGTAACAAGGAAGTGCTGAGACCTGTCTAGAAAATGCTGATACTGTAATGAAGAACAATTATTTCACATGGTCCTTTCACTGCAGATAAGTAGACTTATAAGAATTCATGTTTAAAGTATTAAAAGGAACCCTCTGATACTTGCTAAAATCCCAAACTTCTGCCAGCTGATGGTTTTTTTCCCTCAGCTACAAGCTTAATGTCCTTTCAATATCCAGCAGGTGGTGTCCCAGTGGTTTTGGGCTGAGATTTATACAGATCTGTAATATGAGTCAGAGATGTAATAATCTAACTTCAAACAAAATCACCAATACATAACAAAAAAAAATAATTTGACTAAATCCAGTAACATTCTTGGAACCGGTGGTTTCCAATAATTAATCATGAAAGTGCCTCTACTCTTCTAGCACATGTAAAGGAGCTAAAAGAAATGTTATAGTACAAATTGCAGTTTGAGAGGTGTTAGGGGGCACAAAACACACTCTTCCAGCAGTGTTCAGAAAAATTTTTTTAAAAATCAGTGGTTCAGTCTACAGCCATTTTTTAGCACACAGGAAGGTGCTGCATAATAATTATTACTTCTGTAGATTTTCCTGGAATCTGTTCCTGTATTGAAACTAGTGAAAGCATAGCTTTAACACCTGCAACACTGGCTAAAGTGCTGAATAATTAGAGATAGTTGTTTTTTATCCCATCAGGAGGGGGGCGGGGGGCAAGAGGAAAAAAAAAAAAAAAAAAAAAAGGGCAGAATCAAGAAGGCAGCAGCTGGACAAAGGACTTTATTTGCTGGGTCTTATCTTCTTAAAGCTTGGAAGTTGCCCAAAGGAAAGGAAGATAGATGTAAAGACATGGTCATGCTTACCTCAAGACCACATGCTCCAAGACTGACTGAGTTTTGAGCTTTGTACAGGGCAGAAGGCAAAAGCAAGTGAAACAGATAGGTAAGAGAAAAGCATTTACAGAGGAGAGGAAAAGAAGGAAGGTAGAAGATAAGTAGTGGCAAAACAGCAGGAAGACATACAAAGACTGAAAAAGGGATGTGCAAAGAGAATGAGGGTGAAATAGAAAAAAAACCCCAAATCTCACAACTATTGCTATCAGTTTTGGTGTTTACAACACAAGTAGGTGAAAAGTCCTATTTTAGGTATATAGCAAGAGAGAGAAGGAGAGGACAGAAGGGAATCGAAATATGAAGGCTGTCTAGGAGATCAAGAATTGCAGCTAAAAACAACAGTAAGAAAGGAGCAAGCTAGAATCTTTAATATGCTCGCAAAGAATGGAAAGCTATGCAGAGACACCGAGCTAGCTCTGACACTGCTAATTCAAACCAGACATAGCTCTGACATGACTGTGTTTCTCAAGGGACTCCCTTCGTGGCGCTTTACTATGCTAAACAGTTTTGTTGTTGTTATTTAAAGGCAGCTGGGAAACATCAAATATGGTACTGCTTTGCTTTAGCCTCACAATTTTCATAGCGTTGCAGTTTTGATGACAGATTCTAATGCTATAGCGGGCTCAGTTTCTTGTAGTTTAATTTAGATACAGTTTTATCAAATTTAACACCGTTGACTGAACACCGAATCTTGCAGCCTTTTAGGCAAGCGGACAGAATGTTATTCAACTTGACATTTTCAATGGAAAAGGAACAACCAGCAGACTCAAGTATTTCATAAAACTATTAGGAGAAAGAGGAAGATCGAGCTGGGCTGAAAAAAAAAAATCCTTCCTTTCTTTTTACTGTGGTTTCAAAAATCCACAGAACTTTGTGGAAATACAGCATCCCAAACATTTAAGGTTCTCCTAAGGTGATTCAGAGATGATAATAGTGAGAAACAACTTTTGGGAACAAATCCAGTGTTAGACATTTCTTATTTATATGTAATATTTTTTACTAGATTTTTCCAGAAAATAGCTTTCCTTAAAAAATTGGAGAAGAGAAAGAAGGATCTAGAAGCATATGATTCTTCAAGATAATAAATTTCTTTTTAAGAATTTTATATGTATATGTTATCTTAAAATTAGAATGTCAGCACACAAAAGTAAATCTGCTGGTTGGCCAGAAGTAGCTCCTGATCTAGAAGGGCAGCGGGGAGGGAATATGTAGTTCTACATAGAACTATATATCTATATAGTTCTATATAACTATTCTATGTAACTATAGTTATATATTGTATATATATATAGTTACTATATTGTAACTATAATAATATAGTTACAATTAACTATTGCATTAAAAATCCCCAAACCAACCACTAAAGAATGCAAGGTAATTGTTAATCGATTCATCACTGGAGCAAGTTTATGGGACTATCTGCAGCAAAACGGTTGTTTCAATAAAGCTATACATATTTAATATCACAGCACCCAAAACTGCAATACAGGTATAATTAAAAATATTATTGATATAGTACTTTCTGTCCTTAATTCATACAGAGGAGCTGCATCTGTACAGAGAAAGAAATTAGTAACAAACTGTCTTATATCAGATTTTTAATAAACATAAAATAAATTGCTCACCTCTTGGTATCTAGCAACTCCACCATTAACTGCTGCATCAATGACCCCATTTAGACACATCGTGAGAGGGTTAATATTTTGCATCTGTCGAGTTTGACACTGACTAATCAGTGTTCTCAGCTGCTGGTTCTTATTTTCTAAGACTTCAATAGCATTCTCAAGGGGACTCATTTCCACCTGAAAGAGGAGTGAGAAACATTGCAAACATACTTAATCTTCAGTTGAAAGATGAAATATATTAAAGGTAATTTTTGATTTCCTAAAAGAAAACAATGTTATTCTATGTTCTAGAGTATTGTGGCAGAAAAAATTCTTCTCACCTGGGCTACACTCTCTCAGTGTACACTCTGAGCCCAGAGAGGATTAATTTTATCACGTAATCAAGGACCAAAATAAACAACCCTCCCTCTCTTCATTATCTGACCTCGAGAGATACTCAGCCCTTGCTGCAAAACACTCACACGCTTCAGCCTGTGGTGGAACTGTTGGAATTCCGGGCTAAACTGTCCTCGGTAACTTTACCTAAACTGGGCTTGAGGTCAGGGAGAGCTTCACCGTGCTTAAGGGCACAGAACAGAGCTTAAGTATGGGTGAGCTAGTTCCCCCACCCAAAGTGAAGTCAACAACTAGATGTTATGGATGAGCAGTTTGAATGTAAGCTTTGAGCTAAGATGATAATGAAGCTGTAGTCAAGGGCAGTCCTTGAGCGGGATGTGCCTGTCCTCTCTAGAGGGTGAAGATGCTTTTCTCACAGGTAGCATGAACTGCAGGAAAAGCAAAAAGCTAAGCGATGGGAAGAGTACAGGCCTGCAGTTGCCATAATTTACCAAAACATAAAAGCACAAATCTGAGTCATGATCTAATACATACCCAGAAAAAATAATTACAGTTAACTTTTGGAAATGGTGGCTATAATGGTAACACGATAGTAAACTGAAGGTCTTCATATTAGGGCTCATATTAACCTAGTAAGGACTCAGTAGGAGTCAACTAACAAAATTTCTCATGTCACAGGCAATTTTTTGATTTTTACTAAATTCCATTTTTGGTTTTCTACAGGAGAATATGAGGATGGTGAACGAATGACATTTTGTTGGTATTACAAAAGAAAAACACAATAAAGTTCTAGAGAAAATCAGTTGTACAATGGTATCCCTATATTTAATGGGACTATTGTAAGACTGGCTTTGACAGGAAGGAAAATAGTTACAGATGTTATACTCCTGGGCTCCACAACTGACCAATTATTTAGAGATCTTTATATGTGGAGCACTCCTCCGAATACATTTGAAAGGTATTTAAGGATTTTCTAAGAAATATAACAACAAAGAAGGAGAAGAAATTACAATGTGTCAGTAACAGATTGCTACATTAGACCCTAATTCCTACAGGTTCTGTGTAGGCATGCTTCCCTGCCCATGCTGAGATCTGGGAACTTCAACAGAGCTCTAGGCAGACACAGGGATACACCCACGTGGCGTTCATTATAGGACAGGAACTTGGAGAATGTTTACTTTTCAAGAATACTGAAAGATACGTTATGTTAAGCTATAGATATTCTAAGTATTGACCGTTACATCATGCTGAGTTTTAAGAAAGTAATTTGCTGACGTTAAATGTTGCCTCTGGCTGCCCATTATTGTTCTCAACTTCTTTTTTCCTCAACTGCTTAAATGAATCATAAGGGTGGTTCTTAATCATACTTTTCAAGATAAGAGAAACCAGATCACTCAAAATACTTTGTAAATAATTTTGTTGTAGCCAGCTTGAAAACTTGCTCAAAGAAATTAGATATGGGTAATAAATCTTAAAGTAGTTCATCAAATAACATATGGATAAGGAAGTAAACCAACCCACAATATGTATTGCAATCAGTCTCATACTCACTACTTCACGTTTTTCCACTTCAAACCATCGAGATATTCCAGGTAAACTCTGCACCAAGATCAGTGTGGTTCTTTCCACCCACAGACTCTGCAATATACAAAACCAATTTATTTCCTGAATTTGCCTCAATATTTTTCTTAATTATTCCCAGTTTTCTTTATGAATACCTTCATTTAAGTAACAGTATACATTAAAAAAAAAGTATTAACATCCAAACTTCTATTGAAATGTCTATCCCAGAAGCCCAGGACATTCACTTTTCTTCTTACTTTCTAGGACCTACTACTAAGCAGTAATTTCTGCTGATTCTTCATTCTTAAACATGGTATTATTCTATATTATATGTTGTCCCCTAACCTCCAAAAGTCGCTTACAACTAAATTAGCATTTTAATATTTCCTTTCCGAGATAACGTCTGAGAAGAGGGAGAGTTCAGAAGCAGAACAACTTACAGATCACACAGAGTGACCAGCTCTCCTCTGTGAAGTCCTGTTTGAGATTCCACAATGCATGGCTGGTGGGATACTCAAATGTGCTACTGTTGAACACTTTGTGCAAGAGGTTTGTAAAATGACAAATCAACACATAGGATAGTGCTTACACAAAATATATATAAGCTGTACAATTAAAATAAAGCCCTAAGCTTTAATCAGAGGACAATAGTGACTTTATTTGGCTAATGTATTACCCTTAGAGTTCTTTCCTCTAACTTTATAACAAAATTATTATGGGATAATTCTCTTTGTGTGTCTGAATACCAGAATATATTCTGCGTCAGGATGTAAGTGTTTCTAGTGGGTCAGAATTAAAATTACACCAGAAGAATGCAAGATGAATTTTCAGTGTGACGTTTTTATTAGGAGGAACAGGTCATTTACATATTAGGGAACGAACTATTGCTCTTCCCTGAGACAATCTCTAAGTTCAGAGGTAGTTTTTAGTCTTGAAATCACAGGAACAGAACATTATGCTGCAGTTTAGTCAAAACCATCTCTCCCTTGCTCTAGGGAGAGATAACTTTTGGCAATCCTATCCGTACCCCAGATTACCTACTTAACAATGTTTTCCCATCTACCTTATAAACTTCTCTGGAGGCTGCTCTGCTATCTCCAGTTCTGCCTTCTATATATCACTGATGCAAAAACAGATAGGTACTTTTTTCTTTCCTATTCCCATATACAACAAGACCTTCCCATCTCCCATATATTTTTCATATTATTTTATTTAAAATGAGAAGTGAAATAGTCAAACCTGAGCTACCATGTCCTCTAGAGAATTCGTTATACCACACTCGGTTGAATAACACAACTGTAGACTATGTTTCAATAACACAACTATCATTGATGTTGCAAATAAATCCATAGGTCCAGTAGCTTGCAAAAGGGCATGGTACTTTACCTTGAATTCATTTTCTTTGTCCTTGGTCCCTTTGTGAAATGGCCTGTCATAGCGGAATCGCCAGATGTGATTTACTTTGTAAAAGCTCTTGATGTTATTGGGAATGCCGTCTCTCTGCAGGACTTCCTGGTTTTCTGGAATTGGTGTCACTGCATAAATCTGCAAATCTACGTGTAAAGAGTTAAGGCTATCCCACTTCATTCAAATTAGCAAAGCATATTGGCTCCTGAAGCATGACAGAAGAAAAACTCTTAAAAGTGTGTATCATAACATGCTTCTAGACTATTAATGGCTTGGGAAAGGAACCTCAGAGATCTTTGGATGGTTTGGGATTTATTTGTACTGTTCTGTCGAAAATTTCGTATTTATTTTTGAAATAGAGCTACTTACATGGAATAGTACATGGAGTAAAGGGATTTAATTAAATATGTTCTTACACACAATATGTCATGCCATGCTAACATTATGTTGTATTCTAAGAATTTGAATTACTGTAACTTGAACTGATATACCAGTATCACAGCAGTGATACTTCTACAAGTATTTTTGGCTAAAGTAAGAATCTTAATAACCTGACAAGGAATTTTTAAATAAAACCAACAATTACACAAAAAAGTTCCAAACATAATAGAGTGACTGGGACGAATTGCAGGGGAATTCTCACCTACCATTGTGATTGAAATCAGCTGTAGGTGTACCTACATTTTTTAAAAGCATGAAAGACGTAACTGCAGTATATGGGTTTGTGATTATGTGGATACACTGTGCTTCTGCCTGAAAGATGGTCTCATCTGGCTGATTAGCATGTTGCATAGCAATGGCATGTGGGAACTCATTCAACATTCGCTGCTGGAAGGCCTCCAGCCTTTCATAGTCATGTCCTCGGCAAACAAATTCCTTATTCTGAGCAGACAATAAGAAAAACAAAACAAGAGCAAGTTATGTGAAAATAATTGGGTATCATTAGATAGATCCAAACACATGGTCTTAAATATAGACTTTCCGGGCAACTTTTACATCATTTTAAGAAGGAAAAAATAAGAAACAGAAGGCAAGAATGAAAATAAGAAATCTAGAAAGAACAGGTTACTTAGAAGAAGGAAATTTTACCGTATAAAGCATGTTTTATTCAAAAGTCTGGAAAAATCGAATTATTATACTTAAAGCTTTAATAAAAATCTGAAGAGAGAAATTGTTATTATTGGATTAAAGTATGTAACTAACATAACATCAGATTGTATAAAATGCATAACAAAAATGTAATGCAACAGACAGTTAAGACAATGAAATGGGCTGAAAGTCCTTTCCGTGAGGAACTAGGAAACTTTGCTTTGAAGTTATACAATTCTAAAGAAAAACAATGCATAAGAATGCATTCAATTTGCCTTATCCTCTAAATGCTTACGAATTATCAGCCTGGTAAATTAAAATTATCCAGTTTTTGCAATATGAAGTAAAAGAATACTCCTGGCTCCAACATAATTTCTTTTAGCTGGATGCCCGCTATGAAGTTGTACTATTATTTTCCTGAGATTGTACAACATCAATACAGATACAACATACAACCTACATTAAACATGAGATGCCTGGATTTGGAGTTGGAACTAGTCACTGACCATGGTGGTGCTGAGTGTTTCCTGTAGCTGTGGACAGCACTTTTTGATTTGATTCTGCTTGCACACGTTTGAAATAAGGAAATATCTTAACCATTTTTGTAAAAACACTGTTAAATGAATTTCCTTTTAAAATCTATATTAGAAAATGCTAAAAAGTCATTATGAATGTGTTCCTCTTGAAGCAGGTTTAGATAGAAACAGTTGTTGTCTTTATTGTATCTTGACAACAGAGACAGGAAGCATTGCATTCTGAGAGCCTGGACTTTCATGGGAATTGCTACAAGAAATCAACTGCAATAGTGTTATTGTGCAACTACAAATTAAAATGTGAAAGCTTTATTCTGAAGATTTATTCTTTATTCCTTCTATAGCAACCACAGCCAGGCTGTTTAAAAGAGTTACAAACTGCTTTGCCATAAAAAAATTGAATCAAATGTAGTAATTTTTGAGGTGTTCCTTGTTGGTGCTGCAAGCATAAATCTGTGCTATGTACATTTAACTTGGAAAATGCATAAATACTTCCTGGGCAGATGCACAAGCAGTGAAAGACCTACAGGTCTGAAAGTACTGCACTATTGTGCAACTTTTTCCATTACTTCTACTTCATCAGTTGATGTATTTTTAGTAATTTAAACATTAAATTCTTTCTAATTAACATTTTCAAATTGGTTTATACAGATGTCACATTCAGATGACTACTAGGTAATATCAAAAACTATGTGTCCATCAGCCTTGGTTTGTCCATTGCTTTTAAAGGGGAGAATTTCATGCTATATTTACCATTTGGAATTTGTCATTTTGCCCACCACAAAGGCAAAGAAAAATGAGGCTTTTTAGGCCTCCACCATACAGAGGAGGGCCCTTTGTAACTTATTTGAATTACCATAGGAAGAGGAGCTTGGATTACGATTGCAGCGGCTCCATGAATAAGATGGATTCTGTTCTCTTCCCCGGGTGACAGTCAATGCAGCTAAACCACTGCAGACTGTGGAAGCGGGGAACAGGGTAAACACGACTAATATTTTCAAGGGCACTTCAGTAACTTCAGAACCCAAGATTAATGTTCAAGGGTAACTTTATCTATCTTGTCAGCTTTAGCACATTGATAATCAGTAAAACTCAGCATGTTGAATTTCTAAGTGATTTAAAAAAAAATGGAACTTGGGAATGTAATTACTTAAATGCTAAATTACTGATGTCCCACTGCCAAGGGAGACCTCTTCTGACAGCGTTCTGAGTGACCACCAGCAGAAGCAGAACAGGATAAATGGAACAAACTACCATGAAAAGATGTTGGTTTGTGGAATAGTATAGGTGCATGTTTTCCAACATAAACATGAACATTAAGTTTACGTGGGACTCTGGAAGCCTAGCATTTGTCTTTCCATTAGACAGGACCTTTTCTTAACCCTGAAAACGTGAGGATATTTCATTAATTACCACAAAGAATTCCCTGTTTCTCATAGGATAAGAACTTACGTATGTTATGATCAAATTCTCACATAGAGAAAGTGATTATGAATGACAGCATGAATTCCAGAATTACTCCATTCTGTTTATTTTCAATTCACTTACTCTCAAGAAGAATGGGAACTTTTTCCCATAAAATCCAACTCTGAAAAATTCTGGCTCCAAACGCTGTTGATCCATAATTTTATCATACAAAGATGCTTCCATCATCTGGGTGAGATTGATAAGAAATGCCATTAGTCTTTTTTGAAAACATATTTTTACCTTAAGCTATCACAAAAGGGAGGGCCTTTCAGCACACTGCTCTGGAGTACTAGAACTGCAGTGCACCTCTGAGCAACAATAAGGACATCTAGAAGTCTCTGAATGCATCAGATTAAATAATTATACCTCTTAATGACCTGCAAGTTTCCAAGAATTAAAAAAAAAAATTGCTTTTAAATATGAAGTACCTATATTAAAGGAGTGAAATATTAGATTTATGACAACATGCATAGTTCTTTAATGAAAAATGGAAGTAATAGAAACACAATTTGAAACATATGACCCAGTAATCTGCTAATCTTCCCAACACATGGCAGTAATTGTGGTCAGTTTAGTCAGCAAAGTCCAATTTCCATATTCAAAAGAGTTGTGTCCAAATCATACCAGATTCCAATGATTTAAGCATCTAATGTGAGTTCCTTTAAAAATCTCACAATAGCAATTAACATCATTTTTGATCAATACATCCTGCTTTCACTCAAAACACTGACACAAAGTGATCTTAAAGTCCCCTTTTTCTGATGACATTTCAGCAAAGCATTCTCTGTTCATAAGTTTTTAATACTGTGAAAAAAAAACAGTATTAGCCCTATTTTAGGTAATGCAGACAGCTATTTAATGTGTATATGATATCAATGGCTGCCTAGTTATGTTGCTGTGAGAAATCCCCGCACCTCCGTTTTTGGATTAACATAGGTGGCACAGATATAGTAGAAGGATATTTCCTAATTCAAAAGTAAAACACATTAAATACAATTAATTAAACATCCATAAACTAATTATTTTATTCACATGATGATAGTTGGTTTGCTTTTGCTTATAGGATTCTGCCATTGGGATATCTAAATATGTATGGAATAAGCAGATGACAGGGAGTACTGCCACGTAGCTCTGTGTTGACAATTTTGCATAATGCTGTTAAGCAGCTCTGGATTAAGTATACTTCAGTCAGTCCTAGCAGCAAGCATCCTACACATACAGAAAAGTTAAAAAGGAAGCTGTAATATAAAATTGAATCCATCAGGAGCAGACAAGAAAAGGGAAGACTGAATAATCTTTAAAATACAGTATCAGAAAGAATGAAGAAAAAACCAATGCTATAATATGAGATATTAAACAGACCATATTTTTAAGCAGTAAATAAAAAAAACCGCAAAGGTGTACGTTGCTTGTTGCAAGCTGTTTGCTTGCAATTACAACTGCAAAGATACGTTGCTGCTCCTAGCGAAGGACAGCATAGAGCACATTCCCTGGATAAACCATAGGAAACCAATGAAAGTTAATTTCTAATATAATTTTTCTGCATAAGCATGCACACAAAAGGGGTGCTGTACAGGTACAAACATTGCAAGATCATTTATTTCCCCACTTTTCTTCAAAAAGCTCACATTCCTTTTTTATAATCTTTATTGTAGAAAAAAACCACAAGCTAAAAAATAACGTTTACAAACCAAACCTAAGGGCAATTCCATGGCCAATTTAATTTTCTAAGTAACATTTTATAACCCAAACTAGAATATTTTGGATCTCTGATTGATGAAAAGTACTCAGGTACATTACCCTCATCTTGCTGAGGTTTCTGTAGTCATAGTAGCTCTCATACTGTTCTGCAATTTTCCTGCATAAGATAATGCCATTTTCCCAACACTGCAAGCAAGTAAAAGATGTTCAGTAATTTCAAAGCAACTGTTTCACAATTTGTGATTTATTAGTAGTCTGTTCTTTCCATACTAAGTCATACTTCCAGTAACTGAAAATACTTCAACATATTGTCCACTAGACATACTGATAGCTGCTGAGTAATACTGATGAATTCTTTGAAGGATCAAAAATATATTTAGAGACTTATTTAATAAATGATTCTCACAGGACTATCACTGCACAAGATACAAGTCATTGCAAGAGTGATACACATCTCGATACTACATATGAGATTGATTCAACACAGTATGATTTTTACATTTAAAATTGTAGATTGATTCAACACAGTATGATTTTTACATTTTAAAATTGTATTCTTAACATATCCTCCTTAATTTTTGTAGATTGGAAAATATTTTATCGCACCATATAATTTAAACTCTATAAGCTGATTACAGAATTTTCTGAAAAAACTGATGATCAACATCAGTTTGATTACATTTACAAGGCTTAAATGGATATTACACTAGCTACACAAAATTGCAATGAACTGCTTGTTTATCAGCAAGACAAATCATCACACAAAGGATATATAAAATTTTAGACTATAGGATAATTACTCTTGCTTAATTCAGAATCAGCATTCTCAGTGATGACAATGAACTGTGATCCCCAAAACCCATTCCTTTTTAGAGATTCTGCAATTGCTATTCTAAAAGACACAACGTGATTTAGAAGGTGTAAACACAGTCTTTATAATCCAGACCCCTGAATTTTTTTCCTCACTTGGTCACTAAGTGAATTTCATAAGCTTTATATGGCTCATTTTCACCACCTTTAAAATGGGGAGAAATTATACTATCTTTTATAAAGTGCTTTGACAGTTACAAAGCGAATTGCTACACAAGTGCAAATTATTCTCACATGTAAGTGTGGGATTTGTAGGATACAAACACAAGATTAGAAGAAACCTACTGTGTCGCTAAGTAACTGCTTAATCAGGCAATGAGAAACACTTCCCTCTATATGAGAAAAGACTGCAACCCTGGAAGTAATGTCCTAAAATGAATAAACTATCCATTCCAGATCCACTCAGTAAACTAGGACTATTTTACCTTTCCTCTATCAAAGTTTTGAATGATGGTCAGATGGAGACACTCTTTACGTTGCCACTCTGTTTGCATGGGGTAGTTGAGAAATTCTCTCAGTGGCCGATCAGACCACTCCAACAGCTCATCGTACAGCAGGAGCGTGTAGGCGGCCTCTGCAAGACAAATTATAGTACAGTACTTATGAACACCAAACAAATAAAACAGCCAAACAAAGTACACAGAAATGTGAATGCTCTGGTGAGATGCACCTTTGTAATGGGTAACTGATTTATTTCAAGTATAAGACAGACGGTAGTGCTGGTTTTGGACAGAGCTACTATCTACAACTGTTAATAAATTCAGCTTACAATTTTCACACACTATTTAAAGTGGAGTCACTGGGACAGTTTTCCTGGAGTCTGACAATACAAAGGGGACAGAGAAATTAAGAAACAATTTCCTGCTTAGCCCTAGTCTTCCCTACTGCTTAGAGAATGGCTCTGCTGTCTGAGCAAGGGAACAAGGGCCCGAGGATGAGGAACATCAATAAAGAAAGAGGAAAGGAGGTAGATAGGACTGTGAACACAGTCCAAAAGAGATCAGGGCTGGGAGGGAAATGGAGAGGCAGATACAGACTTCATTCTTTCCATAATAGAAATAAATCCCTCATAGCTGAGCCTTAACACTCTACCATAACAAATAATTTAGAAGTGCACACGCAAAATATTTTTTTAATTTTTTAAAAAAATTTATTTATTTTTAGGTTTGGAAGGATCAAACCTATTGTCGCTCTCTGGTCGGAGAACTGTGTAGTAATCTTTAGATCACGATTGGTAGAAATTATCTGGGAATATCAAAATTATTATTATTATTTTTACTTTGATTTAAAGAATTCCTCAGAAACGGTACACTAAAACTAATATTAGCTGCATCTGTCTATTGCAAAGTCAGACTTTGGCCAATTACAAAACACCAGAATTACTACTGGTTATGACAATTCGATTTTGCTAACTGTGCATATGCATTATTGTTTTCCAAGTTAGTGTTCACAGTCTATTTTTCCACTCACAGGACAACTTTGCATCAGTCAGTACAAAGATGGGCCACGTTCTGGAGAGGTACTGCATTGGAGAAAGAAGTTGCCTACTGGACTTACTTTATTGCAGGTTTTATAGGTTGTATATAAGGCAAAAAATAACTATAAAGTACTAAAGTACTTTTTATGCTAAGGTAAGGTTGCCCCAGACAACCATATCCTACTTCTGCCTCTGCCATATGAGTTCCCATAAGACAGGTGACTTAAACCAAACTGTACAGAGCTTTTTCTGACAGTAGTGTTCCTCTTACGCGTCCATCTTAAGAACCTGTGGATGAAAAACCATCACTGCAGCAGATGTTTGTGGGAGAGTGTGCTTTGAATCCAAATGTTGTAAAATGCTAAGCATGGTGCAAAATGATGCTGCACTGCAATACATATGTGCAAGGGAGATGGCTGAAGTTGCACAGACAATCTTAATTCTGGCATCACACAGCTTTCAGGCTGCTTGACTGGTAACATCCTTTGTCATAGTTTCAAACTACACTTTGGTACTCAAAATATGCAGCACATTTATATACCAATTTAAAAAATCCATGAAGTTGACAACAACAAATCATTCAAAATCATAAGGAAGCAAAAGACAGCAGAGCATAAATACATGTCAGGATAGCTCACTATGACCCTTCTCTTCTAACTTGGCATGCAAGTCCTTCATTTTAACAGAACTTTGTCTGCCATACCAGTATTTTTTTTTAAGTTATCGTAAATGTATATAGAAGGTTTCTAAAATAAGAATGGCCATACTGGACGAAAGGTCTGAAGGGTCTCTCTGCCCAGCATCCTATGTCTGGCAGTGGCCAGCATAACAAATAACATATTGGTGCCTTTGGGAGAGGTCTGTAACTATTGGCTGTGCACCAAAACAGTAAGGAAAGATAAACAGGGTTGACTCACGATGTGGGAAATTCAATTTATACAGGAAAGATTCAAAACACTAAACATTTCTAAGATGGATAGATACAAAGACAATCTCATTACACTTCTCAGGTGACTGAGGGGACACAAGAGGAACCAGTGCATTTATGTGCTTCAGCCTCAAGAAAGTTATGTTTATAGCTGTAACTGAGTGCTGGGTAAAGAAAGATTTGAACCTATGTTTTATATTAAAAAGGACTTTTTTTTTTTTTTTACAGAGGATTATTAGAAACAGTCCTGTAAATCATGCTATGAAAGGAGAGAAAAATTATTTTAAGGGCAAGCTGGCTTCATCCCTAGAATGAAACTATGCAGTTAGTGAACTAATGGTGCAACATGTAGGAACGCCACTGAAGTAGCAAACTTCTTTTCCTACTCTCATGTACTTTAGATTAGCTGCTTTACAAAAGGCCTGTGTGTTGTCGCTGATTGATAAGGCAAGGCAATAGACTACATAAGTCTGTTTTCTACTGGGAAGACCTCTCTATCCCCATGCCATGGGTGTGAGACAATCCTTCCTTAAGGCTCTCATGGCAAAAAAAAAAAATCGGTCTTGGAATCTACCATGGCAAAGAATGCAAAAATAGTAAATACAGAGGAAATACAACAAAGTCCTGGAGATAAATTTTGAGCAAAATACTGTTTAAAATAAGAACAGATGGCAAAACAATTAAAAAAAATTAGGTTCATATCAAGTAAACTGAAGGTAAACTGGACACATATTAGCAGCCAATGAGTAAAGGGAACTCAACACTGCTTAAAGAGTTACTAAAATCTGTTGTGTAAAATCAGGAAATGAATAGTTTGGCACAAAAGCCAGCTGTGGCAAAGATACTGCTTGATAATCAAAAGTCTCTTGTGACTCATTACTACCAGGTCACATGAGGAAATGAAAATCTCTCCTTAATATATCCTGCTATCTAGTCTACACTTTAAACCCACGAACTGCAAAGGGACTGCGGAAATTCCAAGTGAAGGATCTTTCCTACGGACAGCAGAAAAGCCTAAGGAAATTTGCTGTGGCAGTAGGTACCTGTAGCCCGTTTACTAGTGACCCCCAGCCAACTAATTTGCTTTTAAGAAGGAAAAAATTCTGGAGAGATTCTGAACACATGCAGTTGCAATTGCAAATGCTGGGGAAAAGATGGAGGTATTATAAAGTGATATTTTGGCAACCAAAGATTGTTTAATTTAAAGAGATACTGATTTTGTCTTCTCCAGCAATTATTGATGGCATGTAGTTACCCAAATGAAGTGCACTTTATGTTGTATAAACAACAACCATGCACATTATCTTCTTATTTCTTCATTTAAAAGATAATGGCCAGTCCTGGCACTAAATTCGCACTGAGAAATCCTGGACAATAGTACTGCAAATGTGGTACGTGAAGTTTCAGAAAGGTATCAGCAAAGTGCTATACTTGTTACAGGTTTCAGAGTCTCTGTCCCATCGTTAGTAAGTGATATGGGTCTCCTTTTCTTTTTTTATCTAAAAAAGTTAGGTTCTGAAACACAGCTGTGTAGAAACACCATACCAAACATCTAACCAGCAGCATTACAAAAAAGTATATAGGCTCAGATACTACCAAATGGACTCATAAAAACTTCCTCTAAACTTTACTATTCTTGGGTGAAGAATGACCGTATCACGCATTTATTGCTAGTGTGTATCAATAGTAGTCATTTACATTCAACATGGCACAGCAAGTAGTAGAGTTGTGGGGCTGAAAAAAAACATATTTTGAGAGATAATTGCACAAGGAAACTCAGCTGTTGCCTGGATCAGTATGTTCTGCACTGAGGATACAGCTTACAGGTTTGCAAAAGACCGCAAAGCATGGACCAGTCCTAAATATCTTTTTCTAGTTTGTACTTAATTACCTGTGAAGTTTTGTGCTTTGAGATGTAGGTCATACAGCTTATGAATATAGCGAATATACATCTCTTCCTTGTTCAGTTCAGTCTTGTAAAAATTCTGCAATGAAATTGAATTTTGTAATGAAATGTAATAGTTAATAAATACATGATAGTGGTTACAAACAAAAGACTTCAAACATAATGCTCTAGAAATACATACATAGATTTGAAAGTTTCACATGTGCAAAGTCATTACACAGAACTGCAGTAATACAGTAAGAAATAGTAAATAGAATAGTAAATTTTCAGTAGATAAGTCAACATGCTCCTGAGTGTTTTTTTATTTAAATTCTCATAGAACATAAGAAGAAGAACCTGATAGAACTGAAATCTGACGGTTCTTTCTTTATAAATACTAATCCATCCAAAAAGTGCACCCATATATCCTTACTTAGGCCATTTAACATCTTGCTGAAAGCTGTATGTTGATTTTAACATATTGACAGCACTCTGACTTTTGTATTCATATTTTAACAAAATATCTACTGCCTGGTATGTCTACTCTTCCTTCTGTCATAGCAAAATGCCAGAAGGACTTTGGTAGCTTTACGAAGAACTATTCGGTATCGTAAACAGCACAATCCTGAATGAAAAACATGATTTCTTCAGCCCTAACTGATGCTGGGAACTGGTAACTGATGCATAGATTGAAATACAAAGCTGCACTCTAAAGTGATATCCAGGACAAAATTTCTAGAAGTGGCTAAAGATTTCTGGATGTATAACTGCTTTGTTGTTACATGGATAAAATATGGAATGCAAATCAAAACTCTTAGTTCAAAACATTCATTATTTATTTTCAAGCCCTAAAAATGAAAAAGTTAGAGGGAGAGGTGCACAACCCTACATGGACATGCAGCTAGAGTCCCCCTGATAGCCATACTTAATGTTCAGGATAATCTGCTTTGGTTAATAAAAATTTATAGGATAGAAGAATCTAGCACTGATCCTCACTAGCAATTAACAAATTCTATTCTATTATTCAAATCACTTGCTATTTTGAACTCTAAGCGAGTCGCCAAAATTTTTCCCCTATTGTATAGTATTCTTATTCTGTGCCACTGTTTCCTAAATTGAGTTGTTATTATTATTATAGAGAAAGGTGGGAGGAACATTATGAAAATATCAAAACAAAAACTTTATAGAGAAAGTATTTTTTTAACTGACTTGAGAAAATGACTACATATCAATAGCTCTGTAATGACATGCCCCCTTTAGGCTACCATCTGCCTTTATAATCTAAAGACTTCTCTTTTCCTCCCACGAGGTGTAGATCAGGAACAGATGCTTCTCTTTAGAAGAGAAAATGAAAACATATCTGTTTGTATGTTCATATTTACCTGTCTGAAAAAAAGCATAATCTACAATACAGAATTGCGAGCAATAAAGCATAAAGATTAAGACAAAATACGGCACTGAACTGCAGCACTAGACTCCTTGGCTCTTACCCCTAAGCACTAAAGGCTCCAGTACTTGTCAAAAGTCTAAACTATACAAATCAACTGGTTCTGCTCTGAAGCTCAGCTCTGACAATGTCCAGCTGGTCTGTAAGGCACACCAGAGCAAGACAACCCAGTCACAGCTCAAAAAATACATCGTGCTAATAAAGGTGTCGTGTGATTTTTCAACAAACTACTTCAAGATATAAAATATAACAGATGTAGTCTTCAAAAGGGGACATGATGTAAGAAGTAGACTTCCCTAATTAATAAAGACTTATTTTCCTAAGAAAAAACAGCTCTAAAACAATATTCAAACAGGCAATGTGGACATGTTCTACTTAAATGACACAATGTCATATGCCAGCATAGAGCACCACAGAAAAACGTCTTCTTTCTAAAAAGAAGATATAATTTTAAATTAATAGAACCTGAAGTATCAGTTAAATATCAAACCCCAATGAGGACCAGAGATGCCTGAGAAAAACTCCTCAGTGAGTTACCAAAAGTTATTCAGTATACTTCCAATGCTTTTGTACAACTCTGTGATGACTGAGTTCTTTCCTTAGAAATTCAACTTTCAAATTGGAGTTAGGTGATTCTTATACATAAGGAACTAACTCCATTAGACACCTCTTAAACCAGCTTTTCCAAACAAGCATTACTAATGTGAAACCTACTCCAGATGATCCAGAGGGTGGGGAGAGTAGGAGAAAAGTTCCTACCTTCTCCTTTCATCTAAGTTATTGCTGCTGGTGCATACCCCCCCTTCTGCATGTTTCATGATGTGGCATAATTCCAGTTAATTTGATAACTTCGTTAACTTGGACAATTCTATTTTCTGGAGGAACAGCATATACCTCTATGGCAAAACAATGAAAAAATTCTCTTTTCATGCCAACCTCTTATCTTTGGAAGTCAGAATACCTTCAAAGTAGTGGTGAAAAATGAACTATTGCTTCCTCCTCTGGACTTCAAACAATTTTAACATTATACATTCCTCTAATTACTTGTTGCATGAAACATCTTTTGAGATGACAACCAGTTCATCCATCATATGGGCAAGCAAATGTCTTAAAACTTGTGTGCTACTTCTGTAATTGAAATTTCCTTTTCAAAATTTAGCCTTTGTCATTTCTCTGGTGTGCAAATAGTATTAAAATCTTCTGTAATTCCTTTTTCCTTTTCAAAATTTAGCCTTTGTCATTTGTGCAAATAGTATTAAAATTTGTCTGAAAATTATTAGGATATGAAATCCAACTTAGCCTGTACAAGTCATTGAAAATCCCATTAAAAAGTAATATGGAGTTTTGGGGGTTTTAGGTATTTGAATTTTCTTTTTGTGCAAATCTTGGATGATTTGCTAATAATAGTTTAAATTCATCCTATCCTTAGTGATAGGATGAAAATAATCCAGGTGCTTTACAGAATTCAGATCATGGCAGATATTCTGACAGAAAGCCAGCTGCTCTACGGCTACGTAGTAAACATCATCCCTATTTAGAGAGCACTATTTTCCTACTGAAGAAATCCTTTATTCTCTTATGTATAACCGCTACTTGGAAGTGATACCAAATTGTTTCACTGACGTCAAAAATGCAGAATTACAAGTCAGCTTATTCTGTTTTTTCCCCTGGCTAAAAATATAGCTTTCCAAAACATTCACCATGAAAATGGAAACTTTCCAAGGTTAACAGAAGTCAACAAACTTGTCAGTGGAAACTGGCCTAGAACCAAAATGCATCTTGTAAACAAAAATGAAATCTTTTTCATACTACGAATTTGCACTGTTGGTTTGTTGTAATGACGATAACATGACAAGAGGAGGTCCTGAGCAGCATTTCTGGCTCTTCTATTGGGAAGAGAATAGATAGCCTGCAGTCTTCAGAAGATATCCCATATTATATGTCATAAGAATCAACTTGCATCAGTTATTGGGGAAGAACGGAAACAGGAGAAATCGTGTAAGTTTTGTTGAGTTTGGGGAAGGAGGAAAGGCTTGTTTGTTTCTATGAACTCAGAGACCAATTAAACTTGGAAAATACTTTGGTGAAGTTTATCCAGTAGGAAGAGACTGAAAACTGAATAAAGCAGTATTACAGATCTCTCAGAGCCCAACTATAAAATGCCAAGGAAGACTAACTCCCCACTGTATCAATTTCACCCTGAAAAAAAAAATCAGTGATCCTAAGTGCAGTATCATTCTGTCAACTTCCACTCAAACTGCATCAAGAAGCAAGGTACCTCCTATTCAAATGTATACTAGAAAATGCTCAACTGAAATCAAAAAGGGAAAGAAAAAGTATTATACAAACCAAAAGGCTAACAGTGCAGCCAATCTTTTTGCCATCCACTTCTCCCATTTTCATGCAGTCCCTAAAACAGAAAGTAATGAAAGTCAAAAGGAATGACATTTATCCTCTTATAGTGAAGCACACCTCAGAAAACAGACATATTTGGCTCAGCAAGCTGACTGAAATGATGCAACCCAAAGGCATTTGGGTGAACAGCTGACCCAGGTGCGTAAGGGATTTCATGCCTCCTTTTCTAGGACATGGAATACCTCAATCATCAAGAAACTCAATGTTTTTTTCTGGCTCTGTCATTGATTTGCTAGGTGACTGCGGGAGATCATTTGGTTTCTTCATACCTTGTGCTCAAATCATGCCAGTAAAAGCCAGCATGGCTGCCAGAAGAGGCAGTCCCGCTCCCTCCTGCTCTCAGGAACTCATTCCCAGTCCTGCACTGCTGCCTGCACAAACCTCAGGAAGAGATAACAGGTTAGGTAGCATCTTTTATTGGGTTAGTTTTAGACCACGTCAGTCAGATCACCAAAGTGCAGCACAAACACTTGTGTTGGCGCAAGTAAGAGGGTGATGTGAATGAGGGAATGAGCAGGGATGAGTCTGCTTTCTTCAGAGACAGTGTACATCTAAATTGGTCATGGAATTTCAGCATTAGTTCCTCCTCTGTGAAAAAACAGAATGACACTGACCTCCTCTGTAAAACGCTCCAAGATCCACCAAATTTTCCTCAGTACCACTTTATAATTAGTATCACTTATTGTTTGGGGAGGCAATAAATCTGACCCCCAAGTCAGAAGTTAAAATGGAACCACACAGATTTTGATTATGACAAAGGGAAAAATAGTGTCAGTATAACCATACTGGAGTAAAAAAATAACAGGCAGACATCACCATGCAGTCACTAAAAGAAATTTAACGTAGTTTTAAAACATTCTTGCATACGTGAGCTAAACAATTGTCCCAAATACTCTCATAACCACCACTGTGCGCAACTGTTTTGGAAGATGTTGGATTGAGAGCCCTGGAGGTTGTAATCCAACCAGTCCCTGAAGAGGAATAGCACTGCCAGGCTTCTAGAAATTAAGAGTTCAGTCTCTTGTGTTGACAAAATAGCCTTCCTTTCAAACTATCAGTGAGGATAGCAAGTGGAGTACCAGGTCTTACCGTGTGTCCCCCATGGAATCGGGGAAAAAACTAACACTTAAGCTCTACAAAGTGCTACAACTGATGGCAATAAGGAGGACTAAGCTGAAATCTGAAGTTTCTACACGGACTTCACAAGTGACTGAGAAAATCCCTCTTAGTCTCCCACTCCTAAAAGGGAGTATACGTCTCTTATTTCCCTCTCCTTTGTTCAAGTGGTACAGTGAGATGCGAGCTTCTCACCCAGAGATCATATCTTTGTACACATACTTACTGTGCTGGCTGACACTATAACTAAGCATGATTGACATAGTGATAAGAATTTTACATATTCTGTAAAACAACTGTCAGGTGATTAGTATTGAGCTCTGCATCTTCAGACAGACTTGAGTCACTAACCTACTACCAAAAGTTCCTATATTCCTTGATAGGAAACTCCTGAAAGCCACTGGATTTCCATACCATGGGGAGGCTACTTGGTTGGTTTTCAGCCAGCTCGTCTCATTTTCCTGTTGACTAAGCAGCTGCTGTCGGAGATCCTGAGCACGTACAGTTGATGTGTCCATGTGCACTCACCGTTTGCGCAAGATCACCATATTTGCCTCCTAATATTTTGAAGATGACAACCCTATTTATAAATTGTGACAATCACTCACCTGTAGTCCAATAACCTCTCCATGAGGCGAGTCACAGTGGCAATTAATGAAACACCACTTTCCCTCCATGTTTCCCGCTCAATTTTCTTCAGTAGACTGAAAAAAAAAGAAGCCAGAACAATTTCAGAGTTTATTTTTAACTGTCACTATGACAACCACTCTGCTTTAATCAGTACCTTAATACCTTAGCAACATCTTCGATAGTTAGGTTTTCTTTTACAAACACCCTCCCAAGAAGCACAATTTGCAAACAATGTCCTACCTAGGATAAGGACCAAAAAGTGGAATTCTAGTCCAGGAAGCATTGACAAAACAAATGATTTTTATATTAGCTGCATCAGGTTAAAATATATCAAATACCTAATTTTCAGAATATATTAATATCCCAAAGACTTAACAGAACTCTTACATAAAATTTATATATTAATCTCATGCTGATACGTCAGAATATGGGGAGTTTAAAGATGTACCTGGAAAAGAATATTTATCAACTCAATATACCTTCTCAATCGGACCTCAACTTTTTTAACAAAGATTTTTCCTCCTCTCCTCTCTAATATTTCAGTACACATGACATTTAAGAATGAGGAAGGGATTTTAATAAGATGATTCCCCCTCTTCACTTAATATTTCCTTCTGAAAACATACTATCATGCACATGGAAAATTCCGTTAGCTTAAATTGTCGTAAGATTCTTCATTAAAAACTGTTGTGTTCTTACACTAATGTAAATGCAGATTACACATTGAAGTGAAAAGATTTCAAAATGGTGTTGTAAGTGGAGCTGTCAGTAAAACGATACTTAATATTTCTTTCTGTTACAGGCCTCTGATTTTCACTGCGTAAGTTTATCAAATATTAATCATTTGGGCATGAATTTCCAACATTTCCTCTCTGAGAATGAACAAGGAAATATTTATCTGCAGAGTTGTGTTACTTTTATGCTTTGGTGCAGGACTTCAGATGGATGACATGTCCATGGAGATATTTTAGCAGTCTCCCTGAAAATGCACTCAGGTACGGTTTACTTGGAAGTCTCTGAAAATTGCCACATCCATATACTCAGAGCTTTTTAGAGAGTAGTTAATAGCATCTCCAAACCTTCTGTCTGCAGCGGGCAAGCTGTCAGCTCCACTGACCTTCATCTATACTGAGCTTGTTCAGTCCCATAAAACTCCTACGTCCAAATTTCACCAAACGTATAACAGCGCCCAATAACTCCTACATGCCAACTGCACTAGCTATACACTCCAACTCTGTTCAGCTCCTTACATACAGGGGGATGTCACAGATGCAATTCTCCAAACTAATTCGACCTAAATGAAGCTGTGCTCTGCTGGAAGCAAGGAGGAAACATTGATCTTCATTCTGCACCCTTATATCGATCTTAGGCTCACTTCTCTTTAGGAGGCAATCAGATATCTTTCCCTCACATTCAGAGACTGGCTACCTATCATTTCTAGCAGAAACAGATGACGAGGCCATCCTTAACCAGAAGAGGCTGAAGCGCTAATCTGGCATCTCTGCTTTCCAAACAGAATACACAGGCTAACTTAATTCGCTTTTAAACCCCTTATGTTCCTTTCAATACAAGTTTTTGTGCCTGACAAGAAATTAGAGTAGAGCCTGTTACATTATTAAGCACTGATTACTGCACTGATTTTTCCTTTCTATTGCCTTTCAACTCTGTGTTAAACAGGAACATTTCAACCTAAATTCATCAAAATAATTACCTACAGTTCCTGCAGAAAAACAGCAGAAAAACAGTCTGACTTCTCTTTTAAAACAGATGGTTTTCATCTGTGTTTGACTTATGCATGTTCTTTATAAATGTATTGGCATATTCATTATAAATATACAATTTCTACAAATGGCTTGTGTAGATACATTCAAAGTACTTATTCAAACCGACATCAATGTTGTCAGCTGAACAATTTTCTGACTTGCCTTCTGATGCATGCCTCCCCCTCTCCACCATACACAGAATCATCTTTCATCACAATGCACAGAACAAACACTCGGAATGAAAGAGCTACTCAGATATATCCCTTGGCTTCCTCATGGCCATATCTACATAGAATTAAATTCCTGTTACTTACAGGTCCCAAAGCATAGCCAAGATGCTATGTTCTACAAAGACTAAGGGGGATAAACAACACAGAGAAACAATGAAAATGCTTCTGCCTTATCCATGCTACTAGAGCCTAACATCTAGTTATGGGGGGGTTTTGTTTGTTTGTTTTTTTAATCTTGGGTTCGCAAGAATAAGAGAGTGGAGTGGGGACCCAGAGGATCAGAGCTCTCCAGGGATGAACACCAGGCTTAGAACCATGTTCAGGCTAGCTCGATCATGTAGTAAGTGGATTTTATATGTCTAAGGAAGAGAGTTATTCAGACCACTAACCCACAGGCATCTAATCCTAGAGGTGCCCTAAAAGATCTGAATGTCTGTTTTGGAGTACAAAGTCCTCCAGGTACCTCACTATAGCCAGAGGTTCCCTCATCTAGTCAGAAGGGTCAAAGTCAAACTTTGCTGCAAAAGTTCAGAGATCAGTGAGGAGCTACCCAAACCCCACAAAAATATTCAGAAGGGCTCTGAAAGACTCAGTCCAGACAGAATCTAATGGACTGGGCAGTGCTGAATTTAGTCATGCAATTGAGGGAAGAAATTAAGAAGACTGAAGACGGGAGAGGTAGCCGTCATCAGTTTTTATATAATAGCTTCATGGCTAGAGAAATCACCCACAAACTGGCAGAGCTCGGTATTAGATGCCTGCTCAGCTGGAATGTCAGCTCCAATTTCTTCAAAGAGAAGCCTCGTCGTCAGGCCCCCAGTGGAGCTCACTAGCCCAGGTTTTGTGCTTTGATAATGTGGCCGCCTAACCTCCAAACCTGAAATGGCTTGTGTTAGGCCAAACTGGAACGCAGCTACAGAAGAAATAAACTGGCAGCATCCATCGGATTCAAAACAAAAGAGCTACTTGAGTATATCCCCTGGCTTCCAACGATTTTGTTCTAACTACCAACTGTTTAATAAAGTGACATCATTCTTCTCCCTGTGCTAATTAACTCAGGAATTCAATTGCAGTGTTACAGTGTAAATGTAGATCAGGACACCTTTCATACCACGATTACACTGGGTAGCAATTACAACATCTAATTTCTCATGATAGCAAAATGTTCACTACTCTATGCTTTGCAAGCTCTTAAAATGACATAAGGAGCTAATCACTGAGTGGTCACAATCAAGTCCCTAGAAAGACATTGATTCAAATCAAACAGCAGTCATCTTCCCCCTACTTTCACTATGTCTTTTCATTTGATAAAGATAATTCCATTATAAGCAGTGAATTTTAAGCACATAATATTTTCAATATGTCCAGAGATGCTTATAATTTGTCCTTGAAAATAGAAGATGTTCAAAGGAAAGATGCAGTGATTGTCTCTGGAAAAAAAGCAGTTAATGTGGAAGTTGAGAGATTTAAATTAATTTTCCGATTCAGACAAAATAAACAAAAAGCATGACAAAACCTGAAAGTGTCACACCCACTGCAGTTACTAGACTGTATCCAAAGTAGGTGTGTGCATCCCCTTGGCTCCCAACTGTACCTATCAAAACCAACCATGCTGAATCTTCAGAAAGATCAGGTAATATTATAACATTTGCTTTCATTAAAGACAACAAAACCACTGCTCGCTGCAAAACTATATTACTGTTTCACAATCCTTGGGTACATACCACATCTCTGTCACTTCAGTCTAAACAAGTCTGCGTTCTTGCACTGTCTAAAGACACTCTAATATTGCTTAGTTTAAATTACCCATGGAAGAAATAAAAGAAAGAAATCATAGGCTAACTGACCCTGTCCCTTCGATTCAGCTCCCTAAACCGTCCATCTGATTTTAATCATTTTCCTTCACATACCCTAGAACACTATGTCACCCTCCATTTTAGATTAGTATCTTCTGCAAGCTCTCCTCTTAAGAGGTGTTAATGTATGGAGTCAAATCAAACTCAGATAAAAAACTAATGATAAATACTGTTTTTTCTTAAGCTGGAAGTGAACTTGAGCAGTTACTCTGAAATTTCCCAAAGAGTTTAGTTTTAACTTCTGTTATACCAGAACAGAAACAACAAGTATACTGATACTGTGAGACATTTTGCAATTTAAATTACTATGACTATGTCTTCAGCATTTAGATTTATAAAAGGCTCTCACCATCTTTCACTGTATCTTGTTTAACATCCCGCAGTTTAAATCTAACTCAAAACCGTAGAAAAAATTAGGAACTATATTTCATACCAATATGCTTGCTTATAGAATTTTAAGTTATTTCAGTGACAGACATCCTGATGGTTTTTGCACATGAGAATGCATTCAGACTTCATTTTATAATTAGAGCTTTTCCCTTAATGACTTAATTTTGAAGTTAGAATACTGTGTTACTAAAATATTGAAATTAGCTTACCTTTTATTATCTTTACTCAGATTATGAAAAAATACATGAATGATTACAAGAAAGTTCTGTTTTAGCACACTGTACTGTTGTTTACTATTATTCATCCATTTCCATAATATTCTGCCTAATCTCTCTACCCACTTTTGCTTCTGTAAATGACAAACGTTTAGGAACTCTATTTTTTTCAACTCAGTACAATTACAGATTTTTATAAGTTTGCTGTTCACAGACACTGAGATCTGAATGTTGTTACTTAAGCAAAGACAACAGAGCTAAAACTAATACTTAAAGAAGAAGGAATGGTTAAGAAGCCATATAAACAGAAAAAGATCAGGTGTTTAATAGTACTGAAGAGTACACAGCTTGGAATCCTGAAGAGGAACAATTCATTTCCTACTAAACACACCAGAAATAAGTGAAATCTTCCACTTAGGTGGAACTGAGTTCTGAGGAACAACAGAGACAGAGTTCAGTTAGTTTTTTTGTACCTGTACTCTGTGACAATCATTTATTTCAGTCAATGGGAAAACTTACGGGCAACCTTAGGGACTTCACCATTATTATTAGCTTTTCCTATTAGATTTCAGTGATATGTCATTTACTAAAATACACTAAAAGCTTAACAACTAATTTATAAAAGAAAATAAGAAATATTCTTATCAGAATAAATAAAATTGTATACATCAATCAAGAAATCAACAAGTGACATTGCACAGATGAGCACAAGTTTCTGGCAATAGAAAATTACTTATTAAACAGTTTTTTGTTGAATTCTCATGCCTTGTTTTCAAAATGCTCCATTTGAGCTCTCCCTGCACCCTATGCAATTATGAAGCATTTCTCGCTTTTCTGATTTTAAAATTAGTAGGTAGAGAAGGAGAATGTTCTGTGATATAACAGATTTAGCCTTTCCCAATTGCAGCTGTATGCAAGAAGTACAGCCAGACTTTACCGATGCCATGCAACACCATAAACTGTTTTATTCCTCAGATTTTCAGGAAAAAAAAAAAAAGAAAAAACGAGATTCACAACTGTTTTAAGCATTACTTCTCTACAATGACATTAGCATCTGATACAACCAACTGAACTCAAGGAATTAACGTAAGATAAACATACTACTCACATACTGTTGAAGAGCTCTCGGTATGTTTCGTCACCTTTACCTTCCGACATTAGGCTGTCCAGTTTGTCAATCAGTTTTGCTTCCACCTGCAACATATAAGTGTGGTGTAAGCAGCTTCTTTTTCCTTTAATGAGATTAGAGAAAATTGAGGGAAGATTTGTTTTTATGTAAGGGACTTTGCTAAATGCATATCTTAGAATTATTGGTCAATCATGTAAATCTGATGACAAGTCACTTCATCTCTTTGAAGCTGTTATCACTCCCAAGGTTTGTGGGGTTTTCTTTTTTTGGCTTTTTTTTTTTTTTGAGGGAGGGAGCTAATTTAAATTGAGCAACGTGACTTTAAAACTACAGGCTGAGTAGCATTTGCTGCTGCTAAGGCAGCTATCTATTTATGGAGTCAGACAAAAAGCACACAGCCCAAATAAATTGCCTGAATTCTCACTGCAGGGCTGTAAGCACAAGCCATTTTCTTAGACTTCAGTAAAAAGATCATCTTTTCTGAGCTGCACCCCACTCTTTATAAATTAATTTTTATAAATATCTGTACTGTTCAGAACACCTGGGGGCTCAGACTTACTTTCCCAGCCCTCCTTACCTGCCAGTGTATTTGGTTAGAAATCCAAATTGCTGGATTTACCTATTAGCTATCAAAGAAACTTACAGAACATATCTGGTGCCTAATGACTCCTTCAATGCATATTTTTAAGTGCATTGATTATAAAAAATACAGAGGTGAGGCCACACGGTGTGTTAATATTTCAAACCTCCTTTTTAGCAGTAATATATTAGCAACCACAAATCTAGGGAAGAAACTAAGCTGTTGTCAAGATATTTTATTAGAGAATAAATCTATTACAATTTACATTTAAACCCAAGCTGAAAACAGAGAAGCAGAACAAGTGGATTTTCTCCTTCTCGCTCCTTGTTTGTTAACACTTCTATGGTGATTTTTAACAATAAGCTTATATATTGATAGTGAAAAGCTACCTACTTATATCACATGCCCTCCCCCGTTCTTAATAGTTTGTTTTGTGTTTCAGATACAGCTCCCACCCTAAGCATGATGATTGCCTGGGAGTAATTCAGATACTTCTGCCTTCCTTCGTTTGAAGCAGCAGGAAAGAGGGCAATGAGAAATGGTTTGAGGCAGTCTGAAAGAACTGAGTGGGAGCTGTGGGAGCAGATGGCACACTTGGTCGTTCCTTCCTAGCCCGTTAAGAAGGTGTTTGAGCAGCAAGAATACTTGGATCCTTACAGAAGAACATTCCTCAGAAGGACCATCTGATCTTTTTTCATACTAACCGGAAGGGAAGCTAGTTGAATCCTATCTAACCAGTTGCCTGTACTGCTGTAAAGCAGAGATGAAAAACCACCACAACAAAATCCACCTTGTTGAAGACAACTCAAGCTTTGTTCTTCACTTCAGCAGGCCATGGATTTTATCCCTCATCTTACATTACTGACATGATAGCATTAATCGGAGAATCTTACTACCCCTGCAGAGAGTAAAAAGGGAAAACCCTGGTAATTCCTCTCCAACAGGTATAATGTTGCGGCTACCTTCTCCACCCTGAACCACTAATGGTTGGGACCAGCACTCTCTGAAGTGCCTGAATTTCAGTCCTGTTTTATAAACAGCTTCACGTACAGTACCTGTTTAAAGTTGCCGCTCCGCCTTTGCTCCCAGTCCATCATGTCGTGGAAAATGGGAATCATTACATTCCTCAGGTCTGGCTGAGGGATCAAGGTCACTTCCAGGAAGGGGCCAATCAATGCTGGAATAAAGTGAAGCTTGTGTTCCCCTAAAATGAAAATGAACTTGAATGTGAATTGGGTGTCCTGTGAGCTATCAAGCAATCCAAATACTATCTGAAGAATTAAAAAATAGCACTCTAAATGTCTGTAGATTTTTTATCTCATGTCCATCACAGCATGGGCTATTTCTTAAGCCCAAAAAGTGCAGAGAAAAGCTGTAGACAATAGAAGAATATAAGGCCAACATAATTTATCAGATTTTATTACACAATACTGAGTTCAGAAGTGACAGTAGGTTATCTGTATCCCAAGTTAGTCTTCCAGAAGGAGAACAGAGACAAAGCCCTCTCTGAGCATTTCATTTATTTTTCACAGGAATGGTTTGGTTTCTAAGCTCTACATTCTTGTGTTTACAAAATGGTTAACTGTCTGATATTACATGCTCATCAAAAAGAGGTAAGTACTTTGATTTTTACCTCCCTTTAGTTTTGTGAGTACAGAAATGGAAGTACATGTTTTGACTGCAGGAAAGGGAAGGTGTGACTCAGCTGTTCTCAAAACAACTCGCTTTAAAATCAGGGCTAAAACAGCTTCCGTTAACTCACCATATTCTACTTAGCAGAAACTACAAAATTAAGTTCTTGTCAGGAAAGCTAGAAATGGCATACAGTAAAGATTGACCATTTAGTTTCAGTTCTCCAGGTGTAAGACTTCTGATATCTTCAGAATAGGGGGATTATGAATCACGATGCACTGACTTTCCAAGCTGGGAATTCATTTCCATCCCAGCCTACCTCTGGATATTCCAGTGGGCACTAACCCCTGACCGCTGCTCTGTTTGGTGTTTGTGTTTGTGCAAAGGAAATCTAGAATTCCCTCTGCTGGAAACATGCTGGGATGCATATCCATATGAAAGCAAGGTGACTGTACAAGGATCAAGGCTTATGATGACTCTTACCGCTAAGAGAACTGTAAAATGCTGACTAGCATAACACCAATTATATGAAATATCCTGACTACAGTATTTAATTGGACACATTACCAGATGAATTCCATATTGTACCGCACAGAACTCGCCCCTATTGAAAGGCATCGTGATTCCCTCCTTGCCTGCATACTGGGTTTCCCTTCAGCAGAAAACAATGTGAGTGGGGAGATGATGCACACTAAGGTCTTACCCTAGCATGCAGGAAGGAGATGGGACCCAGGAGTGGATCCTTGATACACCAGTTTAGAAATATCCATCATGTATCCAAATAATTCAGAGGTAGGCCTTAGAGTGAGTAAGCAATACTAAATACTGTAAATAAGTAAAATATGCTACACAACAAACGTCAGGAAGATATTAATAAGCAAATATTTCTTATTTTGAACATTCCTCTTTCTAGTACAGGCTTATCAGAAAGACCAGTTTTTTACAACTACATATCTTGCTGGGGAAAAGATTTATAGAATTACAGTATCTCAGTAACCACCGATGGTCTTCATGTCTTTAATGAGCCCTTTAATGAAGTGAACTATTGAATAACTGAAATATGAAGATGACAAACGTAGTGTCCAAGTCTTCTACTCAGTTTTGATTTTTCTTCCCAAACAGCATTTAATTGCATTTCTCTGAGGCTCATACTTTCAAACACTTTGCACAGGTTTTGCTTATAAATATAAAAATGTTCCTAAGTTTATATCCAAGCATATATTCTTCTCGTGTTGTCCAACGTGTCATTTACACATCAGTCACTGATTCATTTATGCCTTTATATTTTAGTGCAACTAGGACTTAGGGGAAGATTTGATGCAAAGCCAGCATCTCAAGAGAGCTTCAGAATTAAGATATATGTCTGTTCCTTAAACTGTTTGGCAACAGAACTAAAATTGTGAACATAAGTATATTTCCAGGCATCATAATTCTGCCCAAAAAGAGCAGTACTTTCTTTTCTATTTTTCTCTGATGGCGTTCTTTAGGTTCTCCTTGAAGAAACAGGGATAGGTCAGATACAGTATCAAGGCTTAGAAAGTTGAATTTAGCTATAAAGAAGGGAACTACAGATGACTAGGGTTTTCCTAAACTTGAAGCAAGATTTCATGTGAACTTAATTATGAACAACTCCTTTATCCCTGGTAAGTGTATTTAATAGGTGAAGAAATAATAATTGTTTTTCATTTTATGAGCTACTGATGATGTGTTTAATTACTTACCTAAATTTTGCCACATGCTGAAGATTTCACATCCCATTGTTACCCGCATGTCACCATATCTGCAATGTATTAAAAAATAGAGCAAAACAGTGAAAAACCATTTAAGAAAATCAAGTTCATATGCCATTATGTGACATTGTTAAATGAAATGTCTCATTTGTAGTCCACAAAAAAATACTTTAAAAGTGATGATTTCTTCCAAGTCTTTGCTGTTTCCATTGTACCCAGCTACAACCGGGTTCCTAAACCCAGGTTTATTTGCAATATCGTCAAAAGTATCAGTTCTTTCTAAATGCTATACATCAGTAACAGAGCTGTGAAGCAAAAGCTATGTTTTGCAGTAATATGATGTAGTTCTCTCTCTGAGAACAAACAGTTTTACTCTAGCTTAAAGAAATACAATTAATTCATACAGACAACAGTGCAGTGCCTGGCAGAAACACCTGAACCAGTGTGAATCAACTTATGTATGACCTGGAAATTAGTGTTGGCACTGCTACAACATGGCTATTTTGCTCCCAATATCTAAACCAATTTGGGCACTTCTACGAAGGCTGCTATCAGCTCTGAAGACCTATACAAAGGGCCAGAGCCAACCCTCGTTCTAGTCAATGGAAATACTGTTACCGTTATCTTTTTGGTAGGCCTTTTTGCAACCTCCCATGCCTTGCATTTTGAGAAGTGTTTGATCTATTACAGTTTTCTAGAAGCTGACAGCAGTACTTACTTTTCTAAAACCTTTTTCTTCTTGGAAGGTGTGAACATCTCCAGTTGCAGACATAACTGGTTTATAAAAATGACAGCAAGAAAAAAGTAGGAATCCCATATCTACAATAAGCATATGGCATTTGGTTATTTCATTTTCTCAGTACCACCATTTTATGGCCACTCAAGATGCAAATTTTCAAATCACATCACTTGTTTCAGTCTCAACTAATAAAGTACTCAAACTGTTTTTGACTAAATTTCTTTGCATCCAAATGTACTTTTCACCAACCCCAAAATGTTCAGCAGAAATACATCTATTTTACATATTTTACATCTCTTAAATGTAAAGGTTTCAGAGTTGCAGATAATTTTTTTTCATCCCTCCAAACCAGAAAACCTTACCTTCTAAATTTGGAAACGTTTTTTTGGTATATTTAAATAGAAGACTACAAAAAGTTATGCCTTTAAGTCCAAAACCCAAAACATTCTGACTCCTCAAAAGCTATCACATAACAGAATTGTCATTCTCTGGCCCATCCTACTTTATAATATTATTTGCAAGTCTCACTTGCTGTCGGCTTCACCAGATAAAACCGAAGCCAGGTTTTGTTAACAACTTGCAAATACACAGATGTTTTGTGCACATGCTTTATGAATCAGATGTTGAATCTTCTACTTAGAAGATTTAAAGATAAATTTAAAATACATTAATATATTATATATTATATATTACCTATAACCCAATTATAGATGCTCCGTGGCAGGAGGAAGAAAGAAGTGTAGGGGGAGCCCTATTCCAGACACTGCAGTTCTGCAGGATAGTAATAACATTGCTAAGCAAGTTTAAGGAACATAGATGCCTTGTCTACAGGCAATTCTTTTATCAGCTTTAGCCTCTGCACTTGTGGAACTTCATAGAGGATAGGCTTCCTCATGCCCAGTTATGTCAAGTAGCTAAATCTGCATTCCTGCCAATCTCTCCAACAGGAGTCTGGATTTTCAGAGAAGCACCCACAACTCTGCTGGAAGTCAACGGAGCTCGCTATCTTCTGTAGGAAGGAAATTCTGCACTTTTTATGATGAAGCAATTGGACTAATGTCTCTTGGTTGGGCAGAATATTCATTCAGGTTTCCATGGGAATGGGTCTTTTCAGATGCATTCCTAGGTCTTCTCATGTGAATCCTAAAAGCATCATTCCGTAATTCACGGTTTATCATAGGTGCCATATCTCACTATATGAGCTCCTCACTAACATCTTTAACTACATTCATCATGCAGTGTCATAATTTTCTAATTTTACTTATGCAGCATGTTAATTGGTCTTGAGAGAAATTACAGAATGTAAACCCATATTTTTGATAAATTTGCATCGATTCAAAAATGGAATAATTTTCCTTTCTGCGATAACTCCAAAATAACAGACAAATAATAAAATAGTTTCTATAACCCAAAAAATTGCTATGCAAAAATCCTGAATAAGTAGTCTAACATAGAGGCTGAAATAACAGCATGTTAATTGGTCTTGAGAGAAATTACAGAATGTAAACCCATATTTTTGATAAATTTGCATCGATTCAAAAATGGAATAATTTTCCTTTCTGCGATAACTCCAAAATAACAGACAAATAATAAAATAGTTTCTATAACCCAAAAAATTGCTATGCAAAAATCCTGAATAAGTAGTCTAACATAGAGGCTGAAATAACAAAAAGAAAAATAAGAAGAAAAAAACCCACAGCACTCCTGATTTTTAAGACAGCCCTGTATTTAAGAAAAAACTTAATCTCTGAGCATTTGATTGCTGATTTTTAGTATATGTTCTATCTGTTTAGATGCTGGAGCTAAGTTTAGTAACAAACAACCAAGCCACAGGATGATGTAGCAGCTATTGCATCTATCTTCTGTTAGACACATTTACTCTACCTTGTAATCAAAGTTTTCATTTAAGAAGTTTTTACGAAGGGCATCCGAAAGGTACAAGACTGTAGTAATGATCACACTGGGAAGAAAAGAATGAAAAAGACAGTAGTTTTCATTAAGTGGAAATTCATATTTAATACTCAGAGCCAGACAATTTTTCAGTGAAGAAACAGATGTAGCATGTACGGTGGCATTAAATACTACATTTTAAACTTATACAAATATCTGATTACTAACAGCACCTATTGACAGAAAACATGCCCATTAAGAAAAAAAAAATAAAAATAGGTATGATGTAAGAATGTGTGCTGAAAGCAGATGTTCTGCATAGAAGAATATAATTGATCAAAAAGACAAACCATAAATTTTGTTCTGCAAATAATGCTGATATCAGATTTAACACACACTTTGTCCTCCACAGGACTCCTGATTTTTAAGACAGCCCTGTATTTAAGAAAAAACTTAATCTCTGAGCATTTGAAATTGCTGATTTAGTATATGTTCTATCTGTTTAGATGCTGGAGCTAAGTTTAGTAACAAACAACCAAGCCACAGGATGATGTAGCAGCTATTGCATCTATCTTCTGTTAGACACATTTACTCTACCTTGTAATCAAAGTTTTCATTTAAGAAGTTTTTACGAAGGGCATCCGAAAGGTACAAGACTGTAGTAATGATCACACTGGGAAGAAAAGAATGAAAAAGACAGTAGTTTTCATTAAGTGGAAATTCATATTTAATACTCAGAGCCAGACAATTTTTCAGTGAAGAAACAGATGTAGCATGTACGGTGGCATTAAATACTACATTTTAAACTTATACAAATATCTGATTACTAACAGCACCTATTGACAGAAAACATGCCCATTAAGAAAAAAAAAATAAAAATAGGTATGATGTAAGAATGTGTGCTGAAAGCAGATGTTCTGCATAGAAGAATATAATTGATCAAAAAGACAAACCATAAATTTTGTTCTGCAAATAATGCTGATATCAGATTTAACACACACTTTGTCCTACTAGCACGAATATATACAGTTGGGCAATTCGCTTTCAGCTTTCTCGGTACTGAAAATACGTGCATACAGATAATAAGTATAAAATATCTAGTAATTACCAATATACAATATTGACAGCCCTATGGACAGTCTTTTTGATAACAACAGATAAATGCAAAACTGCATGAGCTCTGCGAGAAAGATCTGCATCTAAAGATCTCTATTCTGTATGTTGCGAACAGTCATATACACTGCCCTACATTGACACCTGCCTGAATTACATTAATCTATCTTAGATAAATATATACGACCAAAATCCTTTCGCAGTGGTTATCACCAGGGGTCAATGACAGCTTTGTTCATTGTAGCAACCATGTTTGGTAATCTACAGAAACAGAACATCCTTAAAGATTATTTAAATATAATTAATTTCAATGGTTCAACCCTTAAGCTAACCTCTGCAGCACTTGTGTCTATCAACATATTTAGTTAAACTAAAAATCCATATAAACCACTAAACTCTTTTTGAAAGTAGTCAGTAGTGGATGCTTACGGGGGAGGAAAAAAGATAAACATAGAATGATCTTTTCGCTGTTATACTCATGTATTTTACAACAATCAACTGTTTAAAGACCTTCTGAGAAAAAGGTTATATCTACACATTTCATTTAATTGCCATCTATCTACTATTAATACATCTAGTACTTCTTTGAACATGGTTCTTGACCTGTATGCTGTCACAATGCTAAAATTTGTTTCCCTTTCCATACTTTGGACTTCGTTTTTTACTATTTTTGCAATGCATCTGAGACAAAATATGTTTTATTAAATATAGTAATAGTAATACATATATTTTAAGGGTATAATATTTTTCATCTTCACAACACTGAAGAATTACACCTTAATCAACCCACCTAGGACATAAATTATTTTTTTCTTCTGGCACTTTTGACAGATTTCAAGTTTATAAATGCCAAACGGCTATGTATCATTTAGCTTATTAGTAGTTCAAATGTTTGCTTCCATTTCTCTACTTTTAAAATGCCTGTCCCTGCCAAACTTTACCTTCTGGTTTGATGTGTCTGAACACCTGTAACAGCCAAGACTGAGATTGTTTTTAGAACACTGCTTGATTCTCAAGTTTCGTTCGTTCTAGTTCCATTGCTCAAATATAATTTTCATACATACTATTTTCTCAACAATTATATTGTAGTTTTTCTATCTAAGTAGTGTTCCGTGTTTAGCACTCATCTGTACAGTTTACCACACTTTTTCACTAACGGGGAGTTACAGTGTATGCACAGCACTCCCTGTTGCAGCATGGAAGACAAAGTGTCACGTTAACAAAGTGTAATATAAGCAAAGCTAAGAATCAAGGCATGGGTAAGAAAGAGAGTCCTGTCATTCTTGTTATTGTGCATGATTGAATTTACAGCCCATATGTTTCACAAAATGGAAATAGTTCACATATTTCAGGAAGATGTTCTGATAGAAAGGATCGGTTCATCAGAACTATTGCTATGTAAAATTTCAACCTAAGGCCAAAGTAATAAATCTCTGAAAAATTGTATGCAAGAGAAAATTCCACAAGATCTCAAGAACTGCAACCATATTGCCAAGTTTACATTACATTGTTCTATTTATGTCTGAGACAATTCCTTTCTTGCCACATTCCTTCCATGGCAGGTAAAACTGAAGAGAAAGATCTGCTTAAATTCTTAGGAGAAGGTGATTAAATGCAATTTTTAGAACATTTTTTCCAGGATTTTCCTGAGATAACACAATAACTGCAATGCAGGTATTTCTTGCTATAGGCAACATAGCTCAGGTTTGATTTATTTGTTAAGCCAAAGATACGATACGGATTTGTTGATAAAATGTGGGTCTGTAGAGTGAGAGAGTATATGTTGTAGATAAAAAACCTCAAAACATCAGACTGAACATGGAAAGATGAAGCCATTTTTTTTACCACAACCTGCATAGCTCAGGTTTGATTTATTTGTTAAGCCAAAGATACGATACGGATTTGTTGATAAAATGTGGGTCTGTAGAGTGAGAGAGTATATGTTGTAGATAAAAAACCTCAAAACATCAGACTGAACATGGAAAGATGAAGCCATTTTTTTTAATCCACAACCTGTTATTCTGAATCCACAACAAACTAAAATCAGGTAGGACAGAAAACATTGCTGAGGTTGGGGGTTCTCTTTCCTCTTTTCCTACAAATAATGTAGGTTCTATAAAAAAAAGCAAAAATGCACAAAGCAGAGACAGCAGCCAGAGGACAGATGGACAGCTGCCTGATCTGGTACAATACTCACATTCCAAGTTGCTTCCCAGCCAACGATTTCAAAACAACAACAACATTTATTTTACATCCATTTGAATATCAAACTAGAAAACATTGAGTTTGTGACAAGACTTGCTTTTCTTCCTCTTACCACCTGCCACAAATTTGTTCGCAACCACTGACTTTACAGAAGAACCTCTGCTTTTATCTACTAAATTATTCTGAGCTCATATACAGAATGCTAACCCAAGGTCCGGTCAGGCCATTTTTGACAGAGTGGCTTTTCCATCAAATTTTCACAGAAAACCTTTGGGCAATAACCTGTTTGAAAAATCCAAAACAACCCCCAGAAGTTCAACAACTGGTTTGCTGCCTGGGCCGTGCTCTGGGAACCTGGTTTTTGCCTGGGCAGCCAACGATAGAAAATGAAAGCTTTCTTTTCCATTCTGATATGGGACAAACGTATAACACTAGCTTCTCATTTCATCCTTTGCTATTTCAGAGTGAAATCTTTCCAAGCACAGAGGTGTTTGAAGAAAAAAAAAAGTTTCTTTCATATTTCATAAATAAATGAAATGAACCTAGTCACATATATGTGTATATATCTATTGTTATATGTATATAAACTTATTCATATCTATACCCATGTATATATATGCTTTTTGTGACAGACTGAATGTCAGGTTCAGTTGTTAGCAACATTTTGTATTACATAAAAGCAAGAATGTTGTTAGCAACACTGCGTATTACATAAAAGCAAGAATTTTTGTTCATTGTAGGAGTCTCAGACTCCCACACCATGGGAGCTAACAGGATTCTTCAAAGCAGCCATAATGATGAAACTAATGCTAATTTGATGTCTTCCTTTACTGTGTGTTCCATTTGAGTTACATTTTAAACAACAATAATAATAATAATGTCTTTCAGTCAGTACTGAATTAGATAACCAAAAGGATTCTCTGCTTAAAGTCCCTATGCCCAACTGTCGGTAGATACATCTGGGATTTTAGTATAAGCAACACACTATAGTAAATCTTACTTTACAGATCAATTATTTTACTATAAATAACAATATTCACACATCCATTTTGTATGCTTATAAAATTCAAATTGAGAATTGGATGATCTAGCATCTCTCCCATTCAACAAAATGCTGAAAGGATATACATAGTTAATCATACAGAGACCTTTAAAATTAAAGCTTCTTGCATACCAAAAGCAGTGGAAAGTTAGTTCATTGTTCAATAATACATAGGCATAGTATGTTTTAAATATCAAACCTTTGCTCAGCAAGTAATGGAAACTCACTTTGCTCTCCAAAAGCCTCCTCAATTGTTAATGAAACATGACATACCTGGAGTTCAGCTGAGTCTGTTAAATGGTCTCAAAAGATGCCAGCCAATTAAAGCATTAGATAAGTGATTCTTTTCCAAACCTTAGGGTAACTTAAGCCAGTGACCATTACACAGTGATTTTCAGTTGACAGAGACTTTATGAAGGTGTTATCCAGAAGCTTCAATTTTTGTCTGACATATTTTATTATAGAATTTTGGATTCCTCTCTGGCGCTAGGCAACTGATTCAGACATCTTTCTATATTATATGGTGTTCATTTGCAGTTACAAATAGAACCTTTGCTTAGAGGGCCAGCAAGCTAGCTTACTACCTAGTTGATGTAGAAAGTAAGTCTATCCCTTAGATGCAATAAACATTAAGGATTTTTTTACATGGTCTTCTCCTTCCATCACAGAACACAATTCAAAAAAGATCTATTTCTCTGCTTTAGTGCTAAGTCTGCCTTTTTTAATGTTACTTTATTTCTCAAATTTTGGAAGTCACTTGGTAGTTTTATAATGCTAGCCATTAATACTTTTTTATGTTGGGCATCCGGACATTCAGAACTATAGATCATGCATGCCTCATCGTGAAGTATCTTAATTTCTGGACAGTTACAGATTTGTCTCCTTGAGCTCACAGTATCTTCTGGGGCTTTTTTATCCCAGACAGTATCCACATATCAGATGCTACATAATTGTTGAAAACACTGCAACAAGAAAGAAAAAAATCTAGAAGCCAGGGGCAGCAATATTTTTATATATAAATATTACATATTGTAAGAATTATGGCATTTTAAGACCTAAAAATCTTTCAGGTAATTGAAGTTCTGCATATATAAATAAGAGAAAAAATGAAATTATTTTTCCCCTCAGGAAAGGCTTATTACCTGATTATATCCTTGCTAGGACTCATTTCTTCCCTAGGCTCAGACAGGGGAATACCTGTCTGTAAATACCAGCTTGAATTTTTATATCACTCTAGGGACAGGGGAGGGAAAAGACAGCGCTGCTGGCGATGTGACTGCAGTGATGGGTGAAGCTCCCCAGACACACGCTGCCTTCAGATTAGCTGCCATTTCTCGGGCTGAAGCCCAGACAGCGGGGAAGGTGGCCGTCTGACACAGGAAACATGAGAGTCATTTTATTCCTGGGAAGCAGGAGTTAGAAAAGATCCAGACTGTTAATGGATTACTTGATTATGCTCTTAAAAAGATGGGCTAGACCTTCTAGTTCTTCGTTTTAGACATGAACGGAGGAATAAAGAGTTCAAGAAGTTTTGCCTTCAATCCTGAAGAGTCTCAGATCATTGGAAGCACTCTGGCTCATCAAGTGAAGGTCAGGGAGAATGGCTCACAACTGCTTCTGTCGGTGGTGCAGGCAGTGCCCTAATTTCTCATCCTGCCTCTAGGCTCCTCCCTTTGCACCTACAGATTTTGGGTTGGGACAATTCTAGCAAAGGTACTACTCTGTGGCTCTGTGCTTTTCAACACCCCGGGGAAGCCGAAGGAAGGCAGCCACTGCGATGGCAGTGGGGGACACAAATGAAAAGAAGCAGCTCCCATTCAGAAACAGCTCCGGAAAAGAACTAGTGCTCTGCAGCTGAGGAGAGAACAGAAGTGGATTTTCTTTTCTGCTGCCTCAAAAAGGAACAGAAACTAAGCCACAGATATATAACATAGGAATGATGAGTCTTCAGTTCACACCACACTTTTAAGTACACCTGGCCAACCCCCTGTTTCATAGCAAACCAGCATTTCCTCCACAAAGGAATGTACGCCTAGCAAAGCAATTATTGAATGCCGAATTGGTAAAGATGTGTTTATATCCCATTTGCTGGCAGTAATGCTTATGCAAATGTGTGTTATCGGGTTCAATTAACTGATCTGATTGGCTTCTCATGGCCAATTCCCACCAGCAGTTATAGTCAACTTCTGCCTATCTCCTTTGCCTGACAGAACTGGACATAAAGTCACCTCCTAGACGGTCAGAAACAACATGACATGGATTAATAAAAGGAGATGTGTGATGCTAACTAAAATACTGGTGCAAGTAAATATTCCTTTTGCAAAACTTAGTATCATCATCGTTAGCATATCTAAACACCACCAGCCTGAGAAACACGTGCCAAGGTCGTTCCTAAATCTTAGTTTTGTACATGTCAGCTGTTGCAAAGCCATCTGCCAAGCCAGCTGTTTCTGGAATATATAACAATTTCTTAGATCATATATTTAGTCTAAAAGTTCCTATGTTTTTTCCCTCTTTCCTGTGTTTCTCAATTTATTTCTTAAGCATGATTAACAGATGCAGGCTGGTATCAGCCGTATCTTCTTTAATATCATACACAGAAACAAATGATCATATCTATTCTTTGATCATTTTTTTTTTTTGGCTGTAGTTCAAATTTGGCAACATTAGCAACACTAACTGACGTAATAAAAATGAGCAAAAAATGTTATTTTTTTCAAGTCATGACAAACTTTGAACAAATACTATGATGCTTGCATATCCACACACACACTCCACAAATATACATCATGAACACAAGTTTTGCCAAATTTAATTGTAACGATAATATTGTTACTAGTAGTCTGGACAGCACCATGAATTTAAATTCTCCTTGGAGCCAGCAGGCACAATGCAGACTAAAAACCAATTTCCATCAGGCATTGCAATACGTACCATGAAAGTTTAAGTCAATCCTAAATTCGGGATTCCTAGGTCTGCCCAACACAACCCCCCTCCTCTGCCGACATTGGTGTTTGTATAATTGTGTTGACTGTTCAGCTGGCTTAGCTGATCTAAAGCTAAGCCTACAAAAAAGGATAGCTGGTGATAGAGGTGAAATAAAATTCAGTAGTTTCAGACCCGTTGTAATGACTTCTCAGAAATGCTGGGAACCTGTTTCTCTAAAAATAAGGCCTAAGCAGAGAAAGAATAGCTCAAAGGCAGGTTACGTCTCGAAGTATCACTAGACAATGCTTAGAGCCCTACGTTACTGTTGCCTGTGAGGTACCTCATTTCCTGATTTGCAATTTTTAATTTGTGATTTTCCTGACAAGCACTAAATTAACAAACATGCAAAAACATCGTTAATGATATTACAGCAGATAATTTCTTCTTGAGAGCAAATAGATCTTTACCAACTCAGCATTTCAACAAGCAGATTTGAAATGAAGTTCTGTTGAGACTTGTCATTTGCTACTTGGAAAACAAAGCTGTTGATGCTTAGCATCTTCATTCTGTAAAAGTGTTTTTGAGATTCCAGTTATATGTGCTTACTGAAATTCAGAATAGAAAGACGTGCAGATTATATTATGAATGTCATGTAAAATAAGTCCAGAGATTTTAAATCTTAAATTCAAAAATGGAAAACTGCAGCCAGCATTATAAAAGATATTTTGGATTTTTATTACATACATCATATAACTTTATTTATTTATACCATGATCTTTGCATACTACCCGTACTTTTTATTAACATTAAAAATGCCTTACTTGTTTGCAACCAAACGCATCACTGTCCAGTCTTTTGGAAACATCTCTGGTCGTATTAGTATCCGAAATACAGTGAAAATCTGCAGCAGGAAATCCTTTGGAAGGAAAAGAAGCAGTCATATGATCATATAACTTTATTTATTTATACCATGATCTTTGCATACTACCCGTACTTTTTATTAACATTAAAAATGCCTTACTTGTTTGCAACCAAACGCATCACTGTCCAGTCTTTTGGAAACATCTCTGGTCGTATTAGTATCCGAAATACAGTGAAAATCTGCAGCAGGAAATCCTTTGGAAGGAAAAGAAGCAGTCATATGTCTTTGCTTCTTTAAAAAGAGTGGTGAGTTTCAAAAATATTTTAATCAGAGTCAAAAAATCATTATAGAAATAGCAGAATTGTATTTATGTTCAACATCGATACACCTCTGAATATTTTTTCATTTTTTTGATTCCCCAAGAAAGCTTCAAATAGTGATTTAATTCCTTTTTCTTACAAGGAGGAAAATAATTTAATGTGCCATTTGATTGACAACAATGCATAAGAGAAATGTCAAAGATGCATTTGGTTTCCACCCATACACTTCCACAAATGTGATCCCGAGAAAAATTTGCAAATCAAAAAAGCACTTTACAAACACTACAGAGTTCTGAATATCTCCTTAATCATGCCAGGTTTTCATCACTTTCGAGATTTATTCTAAAGTGGCATTATTTGGTGGGAAAGAGAGGGAGTGCAAGGACAATTTTATCATTGGGTTTGCAACGACCAGTGAATTCAATAGTGATGCCCAGGCCCCTGAACTGTTATCGCAGCTGGCTGGCTGTATGCAGGTCACTTAACCATTCTGCCTCATTTGCTGAATCTATAAAAATAGTGAACGTATGTGAGCTACTGTGAATGTAGAAAGCACAGCTTAGCAGCTTTTAGCATTATCATCTCCTGTGTCATTTAACTCACTAATAAATAACTAAACTATTCCTCTCAGCACACGGTTTTTCAGATTTTCTTTTCACAAATAAAACTACCAACAAGGGTAATATTTCTAAAGCCCATCTTGATTGTGTGTAGTACTGCCAGTATTTTTTTTAGTAAGCAAAACGGAGCTTTTGACATCATGAAGAGCATGAGGCAAGTGACATAACACGCCTAACAGGATCAGTGTGGTACCTGACCTTGAAATGTTTTGTATTGATTCTGCCCACACCACTTGTAGAGAGTTAGCCCAAAACACAGATGAGATGAAGATACAACCAAAGGATACCAAATAGTTTTGAGCACCAAAATATATTCTCAAGCGCATTTACCAAAGTGTAGATGACGGACGTTGCACAACAGATGTCTTTCATTAGAGAATCGCTGTAAAGGAGGATGAATGCAGGCGCTGGGAAAGGCAGCTGAGATCCCTGCACCCACCCACCAGAGAAGATTACATAAAAGAGACAACCTGTTTTCTGAGCAAGATGCCAAAAAATTAGCTGTATTAAAGAGTATAAATGATACTCATTGCAGATAACATAGTGTTTGAATGCAGGTGACCAGCTTTACAGATAAACAAGTAGCTCTACGAGTAACACATTTATTCCAGCTTGCTTTCCTATAGCTTTGCACCTTGTAGTTAATTTTCAACACTTCTGCCTGCTCCTTTTTAGTTTAGGGGTTACCTCCCTTCCCTGCGCTGCAATCCCTGCAGCTCTGTGCCATAATCCCAGCAATATGGCAATGCCTCGAATGCTGCCGTATGTCACCTCACAATAATGTCCCAAATTCTCGCATACCCCATTTTTATCCCGTCTGTTGTCCAGACACAATACATCTTGCTGGTGTTAGGGAGCTAACTGACTGGCTGCTGAACTGAAGAGACCAAATGGCTCCTGTTGGGAAAACAAGCAATGGTTTAAGGACTTAAAACCCAAGGGCTGCATGGGGTGTAAACTTAGTGCCTTTGAGACCCACGGACCATTGCCAAAGCCTGCTGAAATTCATCAGCTTGTTCAAAAGTCATTAGGAAAAGACTGACAGACAGAGAGGAAGATCATGTATACTTCATTTCTTTAGGTAACTTGGCTAAAACCAGAATAAATCTTTTATTCCAGGCAAACTTTAAAACAAAGCAAATGTAGACACTAGCATTAAATTTTGAATCATTAACAACAGGCTAATTATTTCTAATTTTAACAGAAAAAATAGAAAATTGTGTTATCAATTTAGTGATAAGTGATATTAGATATAAAATGTGGATTTGAAAAGCCTGAGTAAGACTCAAGATCTCTTTGTTACAGTACATGTTAAAAACGTATAAACAAAATGCAGTATAATTCAAAGCTGAAATATAACTGAAAGAAACAGATAACTTATAAAGAACTTCAGAAAAACTAGTCGTAAGATTTCCAAGATACAACTATTAAGCTTCTATTAACAGAATTAATCTGTAGCTAACTTTTATTTTTCATGATTCAGTTTTTGTATATTTGGTAATAACGTTTCCCTAGGAATCCACTATAAGCATGAAAATAACCAAAGGGTAAAATGCCAGTTGACTAGTCTGATGCTTTGCCATTAATGTGCTGGTATCCTTCATGTGTCAGCACTGCTCATCGATACTCAGTGCCAGTGTTCGCTCCCAAGGGACCCACCTCCATGTAGCAATTCCATAAAGTGTTTTGATCAGCATTACAATGCCTGGCATTTTGCATGATGCAATTGCTCATTTTTGTTTCATGGTCCAAACGTCACAAGACATTACTATGAAGTACCATTCATGGAAGATCAATTTTGTAACTGTATTTTGAACTGTTTCCTTTGCACTAATCTATTGTCTTTCACAGTTGTATCTGCTCTGCTGAACACATCATAGTGATTTAGTAACAGATTTTAACATTTAAAAAACATTTTTGCCGGCAGTATAAGTGAACTAACATTTGGTTGGTTGAGTACAGACATAATTAATGTCTCATATGCCTTCTTTCTTAAGAGACCGCAAGGGAGTAATTTTGTCCCTTTACATACTCTAAATACCATCTCTCAATATTCCTACCTAGTGTACATAAGCTCTAGTACTATTTTACACCACTTAAATAATATCACAATATCACAGTTCAGTTTCCTCTAGCAGCAATACTTGCTTGATGAAATTATCAAACTGTGATTAAGTGAGAAGCATGGCCTTCTGAAAGACTGAAAACCATCTATTCATTTAATCAAAAACTGCCTTGGAATTTCTTTCACATTTCCCTGTATGCATGTAAAATCCTCTGCAAAGCAGGTCAGACTCTTCACTGGATCTCTCAGGGTGCATCTACATTAGCATTTTAGTTTGGGTCAACAGTCCGCTTTGAAGCTAATTGTTTGATCATCCATTGCTTTGGTTCGCACTGCAGAGTTACCGAGCTACTCGGTATCAAGTCTTTGTAGAGCATCCTAGAGCTTTTTTGCAGAGTGCCAAGGTGGCCATGAGAAAGAGGATGGTTCGACAGTGAGCTGTCTCTGCCCAGACAACCATCCTGTGGCCAACTCCTTTCCCAGCTCTTCTTTCCTTCACTGCTTCCTCAATCTACATCAGAAGCCACCCAAATATTTGTTTCAGAGCTACCCCTCTGCCCCAGCACTCATCCTTTCAGAAGTCCCATACGTGAGCGGATGTCCCTGCATATCAGGGGAAGGATGGTGGCTAGAACTGAGCTTCTCCAGAGGCATTCCCCATGCCTACAGACCTCAAACAGCCTGTGTCCAAGGGGTCATTAGAGAACAGTGGAATAAATTGCACTTGGTGTTAGGGTTCGGCACCCACCTTAACCTGCTCAGGCTCCTTTAGCTGGAAGAGAGGGATCAGAGAACTAGTAAGGTTTACACCCATCCCTATGAAATATTCTCTTTCCCTTCATCAGATCTCTTCTGTATATCTATTCTGCCACATTATGTATCCATTATGTATCTGCCAATGGATAAAAACTAGGCCTTCTGGCAGGTGCTTATCTGTTTGGTTTGTCTTCTTTTAATCTATTAATTAAAAAACCCACACATATCAACCAAAACCACCTTGCTGTGGTCAAAGCTGCATTCTGCTAACATATACTGTTTTTCTCATTCCCTTTTTCACTTCTCTCCTCCTATTTATAACTTCCACTGTTACCTTTTGTCACAAATTATATCTGAGCTTTTTTGCGGCAGCAAATATCCGCCTACAAGGGCGCCTCTGTTCTATAAATTGCTATAAAATATATTTACTAGAAGAAGATGGTATTTTGTGGTAAGCAAAAGGAGCATATCTTTAAAATAATGTTGAAAGATAAAAGGAAGCATTTAAAATTACTGCCTCATTAAATTCAAGTTTTCAAAAAGTGAGTGAAGTATAGTCTCTGGTGCTACCACTCAGCCATGAATCCCTTGTCATTTCTTTCTTACTTCATTTGCATGTTTTCAAATATAAAATGCTTTTTCTATCTTCTGCTTTGTGTGGAAAAAACCTGACTCTTTTGAAGAACTGACTAAAATAAAAATAGACACTATGTCAATTAATTAAATTAAATATATTCACAAAATAGAGGAAATATTTCCATAAACAAACACTTGTTTAAAGCATCACTCAGATGCATGTCATATAAAATTGTGTACATGTCATTCCTTCAAAGTCTCCATTTTGCTATACTGTGATTAACAAGTTGGAAACAGTCTTTAATAATTTTGGTATCGACTGTTAAAAAAAAAAGAATAAGAACTGCAAATATATTTCGATAGAAGGAATGACAACCTTCATTCCCTTTTTACAAGTACTTGCATGAGTGAATTTTTGTTTGAAGAAGTGTTTTGGTGGGGATATTTTTTTAATAGTATCACAAATGCTGTGCAAACATGCATTCATGCAAGCACTTGACATAGTTACCTTGAGAATTAGTCCGGAAGGAAGAAGAAATACCTTGAGATATCAGTGCCTAATCGTTCAGTACAGACGGTTAATTATAAACAGAGGTAGTCAAAGTGAAAAAGCACAGCGGGTAGCAATTCAAAGGCCTGGGTTACACTCAGGTAAGTCCCTTGTAAACCCTGTATCAGATTTGTAACTTGTAATGTGGCTTAGGGAAGACCCAATCCACTTTGACATCACTGACCAGGGGGCAAAAAGAGGATTCAAAAATACAGCAAGCTGATGGTAGTTACCACTGAAGCTTAAATCCCAAAGTGCATACTAGCCACAAGATGAACTGTGGCTACTAGTTCAGTGTCTAAAAGCATCTCAGACAAGAAAAGGTCTTATTACAGATATTTACACCTTCTGAATCTTCATTTACTCATACTGATGTCATTTCCTAAGAAGCATATCTTAAAGCAGTATAAAATACCAAGGAAGCTCCACAGTTGGCAAAGCAGAAAAATACAGAGGTAAGTGACAAGATGGTTCAGATAGCCTAAGTCATACACAATCACCTCATGATTAACAGCAGTGTCAGCCTCACACACTAGCTCTCATCTTTCACTCTTGCTCTCAGTTATACACATTTCAGTGATATTTGATATTTCCAAGTGAGGGAAAAACCCAATATATTATTTAAGATTCAGAAGAGAAGGAATGCTGCATTAACTATGATCAACCTACTGCCACTGAATCACTGGTGGAGCTGATGCTGATTTGATGAGATCTGAATGGAAATAACAAACTCTGGACTTGAGTTCTTAAGACCTCTATTTTGATAGCTGATGGCACTGGCTACAGCTGCTTTCCATATGTCTCTGTATAATAGTAGGGTATGTGCGTGGGGGGAATATAAATGTGTCAAATCAAACACCATTCAAGCATTAATTCTAGAGTTTTTTCATGTTCTAGAAGCAAGAAAGTCTGAATAAACTCAACACTGTATTTCATAGAAACTTCGAACAGAAATCAAGCTTGAAACCCCTAGGTAATATAAAAATCTAAACCCAGGAATATAGACCCGGTCAGAACTCAAGCAAAAGGGAAAATATTTTCAGTAAAAAATGCCTAGGTTCCATAACATATACTAAAAACTGCCTAAGGATAGCAACTATGCTAGGTGACAACAGGTGCTGTAATACTAGTATAAAAATCGTCCACCCGATGTAACTCTGAGGTAGTACCCTTGACTCATGATAGAGGTAACATCTCAGTAGGATTTTCTATCTTTCAAGCTCAATATGACCATCTCACTACAAAGAAAAGGCACTCACAAATGGTATGCTCTCTTCAGAACAGCTCTAAACAGCTATCAGGAATTTAAGGAAATCTGAAATTGCACCATGACTAGACTCCCCTTTTCAGGCCAATACTTAAAGTTTATCAAATGGTAATTTAAGGGTAACGTCTAAAAATATTCTAACACACTAGGACATTATTACTCTCCTATATAGGATCACTGGCCGAATAATGGGCGTAAGCGATTGCTCAAGATTTCTTGTGTGCATCAAATTTCGTTCTATATACATTTCTCAGGGTCTTGCAGAGCGGAATTCTTAATGTATATCTTTATACAGGAAATGTTAACTTTCAAAACATTTTTAAAAAATCCATCCCCCTCCTCCAAAAAGGAATTAAAAATGCTGTATCTCCGTGAACCTGGTAACTCCATCAATGAAATTGGTAGAAGCTGCCCTGAAAGAGTTCTGCAGCTACTCTCTTCCATGATCAAACTGGGCAGATAGACATTTCAAGTCTGACAGGTCTTCCTGCCAATGGACTTGCTGCACAGTTAAGAAAAATGGAGAGTTACTTGAATATGCATTTCTCAAGCTGTGTGTTTGCCATTGCCATATATAATTTAATGAATGAATGAATAAATAATACATATAATAAAACAAAAAAAACAACTGCCTGGCAGGAAGAATCAAGCAGAACTGTGTAACCTTAGATTGACGCCATCTTTAAAACAGGCTTTGAGGCTAAGTTTATGGCTTTAAAGCTATTATATAGCCCCCCCCCCCCATGCAATTCTATCTGCTGTCATTGTAGAAGCAACAGAATCCTATTCCCACCATAAGAGTGGACCTAAGTACACATAAAAGCCCATGCAAAAGATAGCTAATTTGAAAAACAGGTTGCATTTAAATACTGAAGTGTTTCATCAAAGCACAGGAATATCTTAAAGGGAGATAAATCAAAAAGAGAAATAAAACCTTGTGATTATACCTTGTATACTTAGTGGTATGTGAGGTGATGGCTTTCACTGGCAACTTGGTGATAAAATAATAATTGTCTTGCCCATAATAAGATTCTACACTGAAATAATGATCCCAAATTAATTACGTCCCTGCAAAACCATTGTTTTTTACAGTGAACACAGCATTCTCAAAACAATATCCTAAGGCTACAAAGTCTTTGTTCATACTCTGGGCATAACCATCAAGGTTACAGCTGCTATCTTGTAAATATCTGAAAATTTATTTCCAACCCTATCAGGTTCTCTTCAGAAAACAAGAAACTTTGGTCTTCTATCATTATTTTTTAATATTTTCAATTTCATTATATCTAGCCTCAATACGATTTTATCTTGCAATTTAGGATAATGTAAGTTCATCTAAATAGGCATAATTTTTGGAGACTTTTATTCCAGTTATAAAATCTGAGACGACTCAGATTTGGCTAATTAGCCAAAATAAGCAGAGTAAATAAATATGGGTGTAAGCTTACCTGATCGCTAGCTTGAGTGACAAAATTTGAGTATGAACCTTTTGAATACTTCCCTTCTTGCTTAAGCATTTTAAGCAGTCCTTTCCAGTCACCTTCGTTCTATATTCCCACATTTACTTCCACTTATAGTAGTATATTAAAAATCACAATCTATTATAGAAAGCTGTACTATTATAGTTGACAGACAGATTAGCTTTAAAAGGGTACCAGCTTTAGCTAATTGTTAACTGACTTCTAAATTTGAGCTTTTATTTCAAATGTAGGGAGCTATACAGGCAGATGGTTTTTAAAATAACAATGAACATTCAGCTGCATTTGTTGAACTCAACACAAAAATGTATGTTGTAAGATTTCTGCCAGTGTTAGCCACAGACTAACTAGTCAGGGTACATGCGAATCATGCACGAAAGCAAACTCCACACACATAACGACCTTGATAAAAACCACTTAGGATCCCATTCTAGTGTCATAAGTCAAGCCAAGCAGTATATCCAATTCACTTAGGCAGAATCCTGAAGTAATTTTTTGTATCTTATTTAAGGAGCACAATTATTAAAATACGTGGAGCTCACAATTAAATTGCAATTCATTTAGGTTCTGAGGGACTGAACTTCCAAGATCTTAAATCAATAAAGGTTCACTTTAATTGGATTGCTTTCTGCTAACTCTTTATATGCAAATGCATTTTTCTTAACGAAATCTAAAAGCGCAAATGCATTTTTCTTAACGAAATCTAAAGGTCTAAATCACTGACATCCTAAAGCAGAAGTTTCACTTTTACCATTGCATTAAATTCAATGTTTGTTAGTGCAACATCTGTAACACTGACACCCTGAAGACGTGTCTTCTTTGTGCTTAGTTTAAAGCATCACATCCATCTTGCGGGTCACCATCTAACGACACCCTGAAGACGTGTCTTCTTTGTGCTTAGTTTAAGCATCACATCCATCTAACAAGATTCTTCACTGCAAATTGAAACGGTACCAAGGTACCAAAACTACTTGAGATGAAAGAAACGGTGCAGTCATGGCAGCACACAGCCTGATGCTGCCTAATTTTATGCTGCTTCTTTATGCTGCTTCTTTGTGCAGAAAAACAGCGACACGTGGGCCTAGAAGTTCACACTGAGATGAGTTTGGGACTACTTCCACAAGGAAGACTATATCTGATGCAAAAGTATGACAAAATTTTATCCACTGTACTGCCATGATACACCTCACAAACAATATTTTATGATACATGCAGCTTGAAATAATGGTAACATACTGGAACAGACTCTACTGCTGTACTCACATTGAGTACTTTATCATACTTGCTCTACAAATAGTTCCAAGAATCTGGCTCCGTGTGTTGCCATAAGCCCATACTGCATGATGTTTCTACATAAATGTATATAATTGCCTTATGCTGTCTTGTGAGTCACTTCCACATTAAGTATTCTTTGAGATGCCTGTGGTGAAAATGACATGGCTTTTCTGATGCATAAAAAGAAAATTTTGCAGCTTGAAAGCACTTTCAGAGTCTGATTTTCTGATGGTGTGAAAGAATTAGGCTGTCATGGTGTTTTATGAAAACTTAATCTGCAAGCAAGTGGATATCTCAGAAGAAACCAATAAGCTCAGAGCTTTGCTACACTAGCAGTCTAATACTACAACCCTTACTTCAGCTGAGATTTTCTTGTAATGGTCTGATATGCCACACACTGTACATTTGTAATTTTGTAATTTAAAGAAAAAAAAACCCAAACTCTTAGATGTATAGTCCTGATGAATCACAGTGATTAAAGCATGGTGTTATCTTACTACAGAGCTTGGTCAGCTCCATAAAACACGCCATATAACGTTTGTTCTCTGTGGGATAAAGTAAAACAAACAAACAAAAAACCCAGCAACACATTTCCTCCGCAGCTGTTAAATGCTTTTTGAAATGTTTGATCTCAGAGGAAATTCTGGTTTGAAAAGCAACCATCTATTCATTAACAAAAAACGTTACAGTGTAAAAATTGGGCAATTAATTAATTAAGCGTATAATGAGATGGTAAATCACACAGCATACTATGTTCTCTGCACAAAATGTCACCCCCTCACCTCATATTGGAGTCATGTCCCTTGCTATATTAGAACTGATTTGCCCTTCAAAAGCAAACCGGGAACCTTGCTGAAAACAAAGCAAAATAACACTTTGTTTTGTTTCATCAGTGCTCATCATAGGCTTTCCTGTAAATGCCAGCATTTCAACCTTCTAATTTGCATGAGCTGCAAATTAGCAGGTTGACCAAAATATCCCTTGTTAATCTTCTAAACCCATCCTCTTTGCTCTACTTCATGTGATAGAAATGAAGCTCAAATGCTCAGCCCAGAGAACAACAAAATGCTGTTCAATTAATAAATTTGGATTTGTACAACTTAGCATCACAGATTCTGCAGGATTTTTTAGAGCTGCTTCATCATGTAAAAATGTATGCATTTTAGAAAGTAAAATGTTATTGATTGATAATCTTCCATTTTCAGGAATTCAAACTTAAAGAGAGTTTCAGAAAGCTATTAAATTTGTCGACAAAAGAAACGTAATGAAATAATTATTGACCTGAAACAGTCTCAAAAGAAATTTTATCTTTTGGGTTTTTTTCTGGGTCACAATTTATAAATAAATTTAATGAAAAAAATTACTATTTCCACTGAAAATGAATAAAATGCAAGAAAAGTTCTCTTTGTTCTCTTCATTCTGTTTTATACACAAAATCTTGACATTGTGAATTACAATCTAAAGAAAATATTGTCACAAGTCTAGTTGTCCAACCAGTGACAATTGTGAGCTATTTCATTATAAAAAACTTACAGTCACATCTTGAAACTGGAGGCGCATAGCAGAAGCTGATGGTTGTGGTCGGCTGGTGATCTCTAGTATGGTCCTTAACAGAATATCTAGCAGGCTGTTTACAATCACATCAATTTCTTCCAGGACAGATTTTTCCTTAAATAGTAAATAAAACATTTAAGATTTTAAAATAGAAAGATGACCACAGGCATATTTCCTTTGATGTCATTTTAGAAACAAATGATAGGTTTTTTTAATATGAATGTTATATTCAAGAAACAAGGACTATTCTCTAATAAATATATGGTTTAATTCTGTTGATTTTTTTCTAACAATTTTCAACTAATTATGTTGTACTGAAATATAGAGGACAGTTACGGGGATGACTTTGAATATGTAAGTGTACATCAAATTAGCATAGCTCTATTTTCAATTACCATTTAGAAGAAAGCAGTAAATAATATACAAGAACTTTTCGGGCAAGATTTTTATAGGTAACGCCCATACATTTTCTGGGGAAATTGCCACGAGAGGCTTAATTTCCAAAAAGTAGAATTCTGTTTTCACACTTTGAAACTATCACCAGAAACAAGCAGATGGTGCTCAACCTTCAAGACCTGCTTCAGCGGTAACGACCAGCTACATTGCTTCCCATCAACTGAGTAGCACAAACAAATTAGTCATTTATGTAAGCCTACAACTGCTTGTACGCAACATCAATACAAAGGAACCAAAGTGTTCACCACCAAAAAAGACCATGAATACCTTAATTACATGCATGAAAACACTTGATGAAGTCAAGTTGTAGTTACTTTTCCTTTTTAATTCAGATGCAAATATGTTTTCCCTGCTTCAACAATGTTTTCTGTCTCCACTGCAGCAGACACCATCTTAATCTGAGCGATTTTATCCACAATTTAAGATGACATTTCTTTGCAGGAAGAAACATTTCATAATCAAATGCACACAACCAAATTAAAACTCAGCTGACAAACAGATCATTCAACTTTGCTGACATTGAGGTGTAGGAGTGATTGTTATTTTCTTTTTTTTTTGCTTCCTACACACCCAAAGCATATGATTTGTAACAAAACTCAAAATTCCTGTTTGGATTCAACAAGGGGAGCCTAGTGTCACGGCCGTATTCTCTGTCACTTCGTCTAGTATCAAACAACTGTTAACTTCGCTACTTATGAAGGCAGACAGTATACAGTGTATTTAGGAACTGTACCAACCGTGAGGACTCATGTACAAACTACTATTAAGTCACCAAGTTGTTAATACTCTCAATGACTCAAAGACTACTAAAAATAGTAGCTGCATATCCTGAACATTGGAGAGAGTTTTATGTAGACATCCACTTGTTATCGTGTACATCTCTGGCTTGATGACTCCAAATGAAAGATCTCCTGAAATTAAGACCAGACATGTAAGCCTTTCTCCCAGTCCAAAACCACAGCTATGCTTTATCATCTATCACTTTATCCTGTGATGAGGTATTATACTAATCCAGGAGCAGCTGCAATGAAAATGTTGTTACAGTGCCAAAGTTGCAAGCCGCATCCATATCAAGTCACTGATGGAGCAATTTTAATTGCTGACAGTGATATGAAATGAAGAAACACATAGAACAGTTCTCACTAATGCATTACAATGTAATGTATGCTGGCCTTGATATGTATGTACTGCACTAACTACATACAATGTTTGTTTTTAACTGTATTATAGCCCTTTGCCTGTCAGAACTTATCATCATCTTCATATTTGCAATACACCTATCTAAGCTAGCTCTCATATGCAGCTTTCACAGATGAATTTGGAAACACAAACATCAGAAATTGGCCACAAAGTTTATCAACTAACAACCAACTGCAACCCCCCTTGCAACACTCATATCAATCTATTTACCTATATCACCCCTATGTCCCCTACAACTAAACAGCCCACAATAGAAAATACCTCTAAAAGAAAGTGGACATTTCTTTCTGTCCAACACAGCACTCAAAAAGAGCCAAAGCTTGGCAGAACACTATGCGGTACACTTAAACTATTCTTGCATGGGAAGAAAAGGCTCATGAGAAATCAAAATGACGTGTTTATGCAGAACCATCACACAGAGAACTCTCTAAAATGGACTTGGTCAAGGTCCAGTTTGTGTCATTAAATGTTATTGAGCCATATAAAGAAGTTCAACACCTTGTGGATGTGACACGGTTTTTACTTACTGAGCTGTTCTTCTTGATGAGGCAAAATATGTTGCTAAGGATACGTGCACACATTATAAGGTCTTTCTGCTCTTGTAAATGCATGTGGAGATGATGTAAAACTACCGGAAGAAGAATATATCGAGAATCTGGAAAAAATGAAAAATTCTATGAGTAGGAGCTTCTCATAGAATCATTTAATTTTAATACAGACATAAAATGTGTCTTCAGTCCAAAACAGTATTTCTGATAAGCAGAAGCTTTTACTTCATAATCATAATATCCTAAAGCAAATATTTGAAGAATAAACAACATGCTGAAAGTCAGTATGTCATATCATGGATGAAGAAAAACACCACTGTGTGGAATATACTATATATAACAGAAAACTCTAAGTATTTATTGAACTGTCATGCAAAAACACTTAGCACAGTAACACTTGTATTCAAAATAACGTGCAGTTATGCTCTAGTGTTCCCTGCCATGTGACAGGATCCCTTTGCAAGCCAAGGTGACAACAGACTTCATCTTGAACTTACATTATTCTACAAATGAGTTCTACTTTAGAGACAAGCAGTACTTTCAGATGTCTTTCAGGATTTTCACTTTTCCAGATTCCTCACTCCTACTAAATATGAACAATTTAGACTACTGGTATCTACATAAAATGATTTGCCTTTCCTCTATTTCATTTTCTAAACACAGCTCTTTGGTGCTATTTTCAGTCCTGAATCCTCTCAAAATTATGCAAGAACTTCATTAACATGCTACTTTTTATTGCTTCTTTTTCTTATAATTAAAGACAATGTCAAATGGGAAGAGCCCTAATACTTACACTTGTGATAACACATTAAACACCTATTTACGACTTGATAAATGGAATGGGTGTTATCTGTTTTCATTTTGTTGTTGTTTTTAGATCTTTTCGATAATTGAGAAATTATGTTCTCATAGAAATGTACTTGAATCATTTCCTCTATTAAAATTTTAATGATGATTATATGCTACATTATCTAAATTTATTCATCTACTCAGTTCCTTTGTTCATTAATGCAATTATTTCCTAAAACCTGAGTTTATCTAGCTGGAAAATTACTCCTTTAGAATCATTTTGCCAACCAGGTACTGTTCATGGATTAGTCCTTCTATAAACACTTTTTTCCCCTCAAATATTTCCTCTATTTTTTCCAGGAGGAAGAAAAAGATAGATTTATTCTGAGATTTTAATTGTTGAATGCTTCTTTCATTCACTGAAATACAGCACTAATCATGTTTTTCTCTATTATTCCCTTGTTTTCATTGTCTAGTTAGCTGTATAACACAAGACAAATCATATGGACAAGTTGATTTCTATACACTAAGTATATTCTTGTTTTCGGAAAAAAGCTTGCCTGCTCTTTTTAAACGGCTGTTTCATGCTTATTATTTATTCAGGTGTTCCACTACATCTTCCTACTGAAGAAAAATATAAACAAAGACGGTATGGCAATAGGCAAAAGGCCATCAATGAATCTAAAACCAGTGGTACTGGAAACCAAAATTAGGAAACAAATAGCCTCTATGCAGTGACTGCTTACTTCTGCAAGTGCCTCAGTAGGTTTTCATCAGAACTGGCCTGAGAGTTTGTATCTGCCTGTAGCACTGCAGCTGGGCAGAAGTGTCTCAACCAAACCAACAAGGCATTTTCTTTTTGTCTACCTAAAAAACAGAAGCTCAGCAAAGTTGCCCCAGGTAGCCTGAGACGTGAAGCGTGCACAGCTGCCGCTGACCCATCCACTGCAAGATCTATAGGGTCGAAAGGGAAGTAAGCAGGAAGATGGCTAATGCGCAGACCTGTGGTTAGGTAAGTGCCAGCTTCTGATCCCCACCACTAAATCTGCTTATTGATTACTGGTAGATGAAAAAACAGAGCTAATGTCTTCAGATGAAGCGAGAAAGCAGGACTCTCCATTCCTACAGAAAAGACCTAACCTCTAGGTTACAGGGAACGTCTCCTTTTCCCTGCTTTCTGTTAGGCCTTACACGTATTGAATTCTTCACTATCTGGTAACCCATCTTCAAAAGAAGAGATAAAGGGTTGGCTGTGTAAACCAGCTGTGGCTCTGTGGTTGGGGTACTCTCCTGGCAGGCAGGTGAAAGGAAGATAAATCCAGATCGACAGAGCACTGAACCTGGTCTTCCATTCTCAGGGAAATGCTCAAATCACTACTCAACTCCACAACTGTCACAGAACAGTTATAGTAGCTCTTTCACACATTACTGGTATAAGCCTTATCCTTTGGGCCATAGGTTCTCTGAGGACAGCAGGTCCTCTCTTGCAGCTACAACTCGAATCCCTGCAGGCCAGAAGGTGAGGAGAAAACAGGAGCAGCCCTGTGCCAAGGTGTTTCTTCTTGGTTAACTCTAGGCAGCACACACAGGATTCGGTACCTTTTCTGAGGTGCCCACTACTCTGTGCACTGCTTACATGTAAGTGCAGCATTATGAACTCCATTTTGAAGACCAGAGAATCTACGTGTAGCAACACTTGACTTGTAAATAGCCAACTCTTACATACGATGTGGCCTGAAGCACCTCAGGCAAAACTGAGCACCCTCATTCAACTGTTTCAAGTATCCCATTTTTCCAAAAGTTCCATAAAATAATCAGGAACTTTGTTTTACCAAGGCCAAACAGATTGGCAAAAAGCATCTTACAATGACTGGCAACTATACATGGGAGGGAACAGTGCCAGTTACTGAATTAACTACCATGTATGACACAGCTTTAGATATACTACTTGTAAGCCCATAATCTAAATACCTCTCTGTCTTGACCTGTTTAGGTGGAGAGAGGTAGTGGTATTACAGAAGAGGAGAGCTGGCATATTCACCGCTGAGCCAAACCAAGGACTATGTGAGAAAGTTTGGAGAATGTAGCGTACAACATTTGTCTAAGGTTACTCTTTTTCTTAAAAATTGTCAGCTGCAGTGTCAGCCACTGTATATAGAAAAATTAATGAGTGCAAGGAATGGTGCAATAATCAGAACTCTTAGCCATCAGTCACTGTCTTAATTTTTCTTCTGTGCAGGAAGCCAAATTAGATGACTGTTTAAAATGCTAATACTTGCCCTTTACAAATATTATATATAAAGAGAGGAAAAAAATCATGACATAGAGCTTTTCGAGTTCATGCTTGGCATAATTAGAAGGAGAGACTACTCTGGGCGATCCTTGTGACTTTCCCATGCGAGCTACATTATCATTTAATATTTAACCCGCAGCACAGCTTTCCCCCTTGCTTTTCAGTTAGTGGTAAAGCACCTGCACTGACATACTAAACTTTTTTTATTCTAGTGTATTTTAAAGATTAATTTCAGAAAGATGATATTCATTTCAATGACTATATCTGAACAGATGGTCAAAACTTCAGCCTGCTTGGAAAAAGAATTAGTGTAATTGAACATTTTAGACAAACAAACAGCATTCTCCTTGAACAGTGAGAACCAAGGAAGTTGCTCCTGGTTTTGACAGTTTTACTGGGACCTATTCAATTGACACCTCCTTGTTTGGAAGAACCACTGGACTTGAGGGTGGCAGGAGAAGAAAATACTTAAGCCAAACAAACAGTTATCACTGCAATTCCAAAACCAAACATACATGCCTGCTCTGTGACTGCACGGACATGTCACTGTTCTCGGAACAGTCAGTTTCAAAACTTTTATGAGGAACTGTTTTCAGTTGAAAGAAAAAATTTGCCTGTAGTGCAGAAGGAAAACACAGGTATGGCTGAAAGAGTCCTCCCTTGGTCTAAAAAAGAGCCACAGATGCAAAGCATCATTTGCAAAGCTTTTGCAAAATATTTTCTGCTCTCCACTATAGAGGTACTAATAAAGGCTGAATGTTTGTATGCAATATGCATACATACATACATACATCCCCCCACAGGTCTGTATAGAAGCACACATACACAAACAACTCCAAAGAATAGTATATTGCTGTGGAAGACAAATTAAGAAATACTAATTAATCTGAAAAAGATCCTGGAGTACTTGAAAGCAGTACTATGGATCAATGTGTAAAACCTTTAATTTTTGAAAAAATTGACTCTTTTTTTCCCAACTCTCTGTTAATATGTAAAGTTTAATGCATTTTAACTAAATTTAATTCAGGATTTGTATCAACAATTTCAATAATGATAGGCTTTTTGTATTTTTACAGCAATCAATTAGCTTGCAGTGATTACTGAGATATCTTACAAGTCTCATTAAAGAGGAGTTCTGAGTCTTTTGAAAAAATGATGGAATAAGAGCGAAATCATTATACCTAGCTTCTAGAACTAAACCTCCTTGTCAGTTAATGGTATCTTTTCCTGAACTTGCTAACAACTTCTTTTTCATTCCCATAGGAAGTCTAACATGTAACAACATCCTTTCCACGGGGCAGTTCAAAGATAGTAAATTACTCTCACTGATGGTGTCAGATTTTCATCTCTGAATGACTACTGAAACATAGAGTTTCCTACATGTACATTCTCCTGTGATACACAGGATGCAATTCTTAGATGAGCTCATTCACAAAGACAGACTGAGGGAAGCAGTCAATCTCAGACAGAAAACAAATAGATAACGATCACTTTTCTAATCTATTAATAGTGGGTTTCAGTGTAAAATAAGGAAAACAATAAAAAACAGATAAGGAATAAGTTATATAGAAAAGAAATACATGAAACTTTACGTATGAAATAAATTAAATAAAATGGACACAGGAAGATGTCTTTAAAACATCAAGTCGGGATTCTTCCTAGCTTCATTATATATATATATATCTCTCATATATAGATATCATATAACATACGAAATTTATAGTGCAAATGATCAGAGAATTAAACCCCTCCTCTGTTTGTTTTGAACAGTTTGCCTCACTGAAACGAAAAGTCCTACCCAGCTACTCTTGCACAGAGGTCCAAATCCTCATATTTTGGGAAGACACAAAGTTTCTTGCCTTGTAAGAACATTCTCCATGTGGTAAAGAGCTGCACCACAGATTATAACTGGGCTAAGATACAGGCTTTGTCAATACAGGATTTTCATTTTTTAGGACTTTACCTACTAATGTAATCTCTCTTCTGGTAATTGACATGTTTGATCGATGGTGATTCCAAGAAAACTCATCCTCTCTGGAGGAAGAAACCTAGACGTTCCACTTACACACCTCACGTTTTCATAACTATTGAATTTTCAAGCTTGAAGTAGTGCCCTTAGAGAAAAAAAATTATTGGTGTTCTGCTAATTCCCATTTAACCATGTCAAGAAGGACATGGTTCAAGATGTGTTTCTCTGTTATTGGCCTTAACTCTTCCCAGCAAAAGAGATTTAACTCTTCCCCAAAGCAAGCTATAATAATATTTAATGCATAAAAGACAACAAACAAGAGTGTTAGACTACTGATGTATCGGAAATGACAAAGGTAGAAAATCTTCTGGGTACAGGCGTATGTAGGTCATCAGTTTGGCCATTCTTCAAGTATCAACAGGGATGCATCCAAAGTTACACCCAAAATACCAGGAGACTGGAAGAAGGGCCAAGAGGAAAAAAAATACTGCTAGTCTTTATCAGCAGGAAAACTGTCATCTGTTTCTTTTTAGACACCCAATGCAGTGTACTACAAAGATGCAGAAGTAAATATGGAAAAATAGAAGTAAAGTAACGCCTTAACACCCACTAACTTTTCACAGGAGCTAGGCAGATAACTGCTGTTGACATCTTTTAACATCTCTGTAGTTGTTACCTATAGGAACAGATGAAGTTTAAAATTACTGAAGTAGAAAAAGGTTCTAAGCAAGCTATATCAAAGCCTCAATACAGAGCCATTTCAGACATCCTATCTACACATGATCAGTAAATACAACATATAACCTGCATTCCCTAGAGAGGTAGGTAGAGACTAGATGCATCAAATACATCTGAAATTGTACCGAACATCTGTGCTTGGGCACCTTAAATCAACCCCTGCATGTCTGATGTTTCTATTTTCAATAATATACCAAATATATTTCCTAATTTTAGTGAAAGCATAGCTTTAGTGTCAGTTGATTTCTGCAGCAGTGGGAGCTAATGTGTTAGTTGTTCAGGCCCTTGCAGCACAAAATGCGTAGAACTCCCATGCTAAACTACTCTCACTTGTTTCCAAGCAAGCTCCCAATAACAGAAAATGTTATCTAAGAAGTGCCCTCCTCATTTTTAGACATTTGACTAAATAGTTATTTCCTGCATTCCATCTAGTTCCAATGTGTTAGCTAGCACTGCAGCTTGCAGTGTTCATCATCTTCATCTGGGAGACAGAAATCAATTATTTTCACAGCAGCAAGCCTCAACTTCACATTAGGATGTACAGTTTGCTCTGCACATTAACATAGTCTAGTGCAATATTTATTTTCCCAAGAGGATTTTAAAAGGACTTCCTTCTAGGGATTGACAGAGGGAAAGTCTACTTATATTTTTGTATTCTAAGGAGGTAAAACATCAAGGGCAAAGAGACCAAGATGCTGATCTCCACATGACCCTTCAACTTAATGATGAATGAAATTATACTGTACAAGTGTTTGCCTGAGCTTCCTATCATGGACATTGGGAGCTTATATTACTGCCTGATGTCTTTCACATCAGTTTCCCTGTGGTCTAAGAAATTTAGATGCTATTTGTGTATAACCCGCACTCCATGTAAAATTTAACATGTAATTTTCACTGCTTTTATACAAACCAACTCATATGACCTCTTAATAATGAAACTGGATTTGAATAAAAAAACTAACACTTTTACAAAAGGAAGCAAACAAAAAAAATTGTCATACAGCTGAAAGTAGATTTACAGTTCCAAGAAAGTTCCCAAGAGTCCATTACATGGCATTAAATAACTCTCTTTAATTACATTCATTCATTTGGATCTTCTGGTTAGGCTGACCTAACCGAGATAATGGGAGGAAAATGGAAACAATGCTACCTGGTCCCTAAGTAGTCTGGAAAATGAAAAACGTAAATTAGGGCGTCCTTAAGATTGCTCCATCAATATGTCATCATCTACCCAGAGTATCAAAGGTCTGATCAATCAGCTGTAGAGAGAGCTAACTGTTCTGGAAGGGACCGCCATGGAGGCTCACAAGGGAAAGGGTAAGCTGTTTTCACAACCAGAATGAAGCAAAGTAGCCAGGATCCAATACTTCTTACCCATTTCTTTGAGCTCACAGTTTTAAAGTACAATCACTGAAAGCATTTAAAAAAAAAATATTTTCTAAGATCTCTTCCTTTATTTTGCAGCACCTCAAAATATTTATGCATATCCTGGTGGTTTTTGAAGACCCTTCATCATTGTAATGTGTTTATCTTGAATGCCTTAGATGGTAAAAGTTACTGTTTCTACTGAACTCCATCAGCCAATACCCAAACAGCTCTCAAGAGGGCTTTTGGTGAGTAAACTGACACTTACTAGAATTCTTTAAATCTCTTCTATTTTAATTCTTTTATTTCAAAATTCGTTCATCTCGAATTTACTATTTGGTCACTTCTATGGGTTTCACTTAGAACAGAAAAAAAGAATGTCAAGCTCACCACCAAAAAGCATTTTTTTCTTCCTCATAGCATATAACTATGCTGTTATATACTTTATGCACCAACTATCACTTGTATTTGTGTAGCCTTTTTATGCTACATTAAGAAATGGAGGATCGAAAGTGCTGAACTAGCAAGAGTTACACAAATAAGACTTAATGGATAAGTGACAATCTGTTTGCTGAACTGCCCCCAAAGGAGAAAAAAAGAAAAAAAATCAATTTAGTAAAGCTTTTTCCTTTATAATTACTTAAAAAGTATAAAGCAAACTTCCTTCACAGACATATTGCCAGCAGTAGATCAAAGCAAAACTGTATTTTAAGAGTCTTTCTCTCTAAAAAACAAACCACTAAATTTAACCAACTGTATTCTTGTAAATGAGCAGCTCGTACAGAGCAGCACTTCAAGAATTGTTCCTTAGGAAGCACTACTCTGAGCAACACTACTCCCTTCAGCACCTGCTGGCCCGTGTACCAAGCACACAATTTGAGTTCCTCATCTGCAGGCAGCCCAGGGTAACCTTACCTGGGTTAGTGTACAGGTGACTCTCTACAGTTTTTCCAACCGCCCCCAAAAGGGAAAAAAAGAAAAAAAAAATCAATTTAGTAAAGCTTTTTCCTTTATAATTACTTAAAAAGTATAAAGCAAACTTCCTTCACAGACATATTGCCAGCAGTAGATCAAAGCAAAACTGTATTTTAAGAGTCTTTCTCTCTAAAAAACAAACCACTAAATTTAACCAACTGTATTCTTGTAAATGAGCAGCTCGTACAGAGCAGCACTTCAAGAATTGTTCCTTAGGAAGCACTACTCTGAGCAACACTACTCCCTTCAGCACCTGCTGGCCCGTGTACCAAGCACACAATTTGAGTTCCTCATCTGCAGGCAGCCCAGGGTAACCTTACCTGGGTTAGTGTACAGGTGACTCTCTACAGTTTTTCCAATACTCTGCAGTTTAACGGCTTGAAGGGACTCATCCCCATGCATGACTGTCGGCAAGCTGCCCAGAGCATCGTGAACCAAATTTGCCACTTCTCTTACATCAAAGAGCTTCAACAGTTCAGAGTACACCGATGGGAATGAGCTGAGAAACACAGCCTAGAGGAAAAGGGCAAAAATGGACAGTCAGATATTGCAGTTTAGTTTTGACATTTATAGAATTTAAATAACTACAGAAATTTAAGTAACTGTAGAAAAATGCCTGGTTTTACTTTTCAGGGGTAGTTAGTAGCTTTAAAAATGGTCATATTTTCAGAAGAAATATCCTCACATTCATTAACGGGCTTACACTTGTGACTATTTTCCTTTAAGCATTATCTAATGACTTCATTTCTCCCAGGACAAAGTGAAAGTAAAAAGTTCAACTTAGAACAAAAATATTTATACTTTACAGATTCTTCACGATCTATGTGTGAGAGGAAATTTTTAAAAGGATAACAGAAACCAGCTGATATCAGAACAAAAAGATTTGAGTGGAGTTGTTTTGGTTTGCTTTGTTTTAAGATAAGTAATATAATGGCCTCCATATCTTCCATTTTTCAAATAATGAACATTTTTATTTTGGAGTGAGACAGCACTGGAAGTCTTGGTTCACTTCAACAATCCTAAAATAGGGTTAGAAATTCATTCGTAAGTATAACGAATATGGAAACAAAACATTAGAAAAGAAAGGAGGGCAATGCCAGAGAAGGGAAGCTAGAACTGACATTCCCTTCTTCTCCAAATCCTGCTGACTGAGAAAAGCTACTCATACCTCAGACCTTCTTCACACTGGTGTCAGAAAAGAACGAATATGGAAACAAAACATTAGAAAAGAAAGGAGGGCAATGCCAGAGAAGGGAAGCTAGAACTGACATTCCCTTCTTCTCCAAATCCTGCTGACTGAGAAAAGCTACTCATACCTCAGACCTTCTTCACACTGGTGTCAGAATATATAACATACAAGGTTAAAGATACTGAAGAAGAATTCCAAATGTTGTCATTTATATCATTTTGCTATTATCTTTTCACTCCACCTGCTTACATGATATGAGATGGAAGAACCACCTCTCTACTACTCTGTTCTCTCTGATTTGCCATTTTCTTGGAAGAACAATTTTCTACAGAGCTTAAGAAATTAATAATTCTTAACAGGTCTTAAACACCTTTGGTTACAGAAACAGGGGAAGAGGACTGTATATCTATAAGCTGTAGAAGTTGGTAAATCTGAGGCACTTAATGTAGAGAGCTGTCTCCTGTGTGATTTGCCTCTGTGCTTTAGCACTAGTCAATTTTAGTAGTTTCAATTGAAATAAAGATACCAGCTGAGTATTAAAACATACAGTTCAGCAAGACTTAAAAGTTTTCTGTAAAGCATGAAAACTCCGATAGTCTTTTGTATGGCTCAAATTCTTCAGTGCCAATGTGGTTAAACTAAGCTGTAAAATGCCCAAAACAGAGAAATTACTTTATTTGTATCCAGCAATATAATTACTATAATTACAATATAATTATATTCCAAAATTAAATATCAGATTTAGGATTATCTTTGCCAAGCCTATTTAGAAGCTGCTGGTACGAAAATTTCACACTATAGGACAAAAGGTATGAGGAAGAGCTGAAAATGCCATTTTGCTCTAGGAAAAACACATTTTCTTTCCAGGGAATATAGGTAAGGACACGCATACATTTTCTATATTGGACGTGGAAAGTGGCAGTAAGCAAGGCATGCTTGAAAACTTACTTGTAGTTGGGATAAAGCACTAGCTCCTTTGCTCTCTTGGGAAAGGAAGAAACGTACTGACATAAGAAGCTCTTGAATACAGCAGCGAAATTCCTCCTCATTTTGTCCACCAGTGGCAATAGAGAATAACCTTCGAGACTGAACTATATATTTGAAGATATATTCCTGTGCCTACAAATGTCAAAATCAGAGATAACTCAGACACCATGTTATTTAATATTGGCAAATCTTTCTATTGAAACACTAACAACATTTCAAAAGCACATACTCAGAAATGCTCTTCCCTTGCCTTTCATAATCTCTACAAACCAGGGAACACTTGGTTTTTTAACAAATGGAAAACTGCAAAATCTCAACACTGCCCCCCTGCCATCCCTCACATGCCTTTGGCTACAAAAACCCGTATTGCATAAACATACAGGGCCAATATAAGAAATAGGCTCAAACTTTAGAGCTGTTCTTAGAATTGCTCTGCCTGTTAAAAGTTGTTTTCCTGTCAACTGCTAACTAGATAATAAAAAGAGAGCTTAAGTTAAGTTGCAAAACTGTTGGAATGTAAATTAAAAATACAGCCCTTTCTTATTAGCAAGATACTTAAGTTAACAGCAGCATAGAAAAGCACAGAAAGGTACCACACTGACATTTTATTTCCAGACTGTAGCACCTGTCCCAAATGGGATTATTGTGTTGTACAGCTCAGCCTGACTCCACGATGTGTTTTGTTGATGGTACAAAACAGGACAACAAGAGCAACCAAACCCACCATTTTCAGCAGAATTCCCTGGTGTCAGCTTTGAACCATTAAGTCAGCATGCATGTCTGCCATTTAGATTCAGATATGCGACAGACGTTAATACTACCAATGCAATCTACATTTTATTTCTTAAATCTAACTCTTACTCATGTATATCTTCATTCAGGACGGAACACAGAGCTTCAGAGTCTAGTAGTAGCTCCATTGATCAACTTATTGACAAAAGAGAACGATGAATAAACTGACTGCACTGAAAGAGTCTGCAACTCCCTAGAATTAGTACTACCATTCCATCATTTATACATACTCTGCTTCATTTCCTAAGTTAAAGCTGTTGGTACTGTATGAATACATCATTCAAATATATAATAGCCTTCGACAATTTTTATTACCTTTAGTACTTCCTGTATGTGCTCGTGCAGCTCCACTTCGGTGACTCGATCAATATGCCACTTTAGTACTTTTATAAGATCTCTAGAATACAACATCAGAAAGTATTATAACACAGAAGTGGGAGAACGGTTAACTTTGCATTTAAAATGCAACCCAATATTTGTCATATGAGAAACACTGACAAAATAAAAAATATATGACTAGATTTCGCTAATCACTACAGGCCCAATATTACACTTAGTTTTCAGTCTGCTGAAAGCCACCTAGTAGATCTAAGATCTCTAGAATACAACATCAGAAAGTATTATAACACAGAAGTGGGAGAACGGTTAACTTTGCATTTAAAATGCAACCCAATATTTGTCATATGAGAAACACTGACAAAATAAAAAATATATGACTAGATTTCGCTAATCACTACAGGCCCAATATTACACTTAGTTTTCAGTCTGCTGAAAGCCACCTAGTAGATCTCTAATGAACAGTAAATAATACCAGCATTACATATGCAGTAGAATGATTTTGACAGGGATACAAAAGCTCAGTTAAGCCAGAAGAGTTCCTGCCAGCATGGACTATCCCTGCTATTCCATGCATCCGTTTCCAGTCTCATAAAACCGCATTGGTTTTAATGGAAGTCTAGGTAGCAAATAAATACAGAGTACAGCAGAGCAAGTGATGCTTATTAGTGCACTGTTCTACACAGACAGTGAACACAGTTGCAGCTGGATGATGTTAAGGCTCCTATGTTTTTCAAAGTAATTCAAATAAAGAAATCCACTGAAGAAAAAGATTTAAAAATGAAGCCAATGTTAGGGCATTAGCAAGTTAAGTTACCTTTCAGGTAACTTAAAGTTGTTTTACTCTTTTTTAATGGCCTAAATCTGGGCATTCATATAAGCATTGCATTTTATTTCTAATGATACCATTTAATTTAACCTAATGATTGATTCGGCTTAGTTTACCAATAACCGTCAGTATTCAAATCAGATAGAAAAAATACAGACTTCACCTGTATGCAAGTGCTCCTGCAAAATGACTTTCAATGTAAGTGTCCATTACTGGCTTAAAGTGGTGAAACTTGCTGTCCTGCAGCAAATTTATTATGTGAACCTAAATGTGAGGGAAAAAGAAAAAAAAAAGCTTTTTTTTTAACTTAGTTCTTAAATAGTGTTAAGCATCATCACAAAATGAAACTTACCAAACAATCAAATACTTTTGATCCATATTTTTGAGAGTTTTCATCTAAAATCCCAAATAAAGTGTCTAGTGTATCTTGAAGAAACTGATTGGAGAGAATAAGAGACAGTTTGTTATTAATAATAGGTATTTTTGTGACACACAAATACATTATTTCCCTCATATTATCTAAAAGGATAGAATGGTATATACCTTCACTATTTCTGAACCATCAATTTCTTTTAATTTTGAGAGGCAACCTGCAATTTTGTCTGGGTGGGTTCTCCATTTCAGAAGGTCAAGCATATCTCCTGCAAAAACAAAATGCAAGATTAAAGCTGGAAGCAAAGCAGCATTTCAGATTTTAAATTCTACTATTACAGTCCACTCAGCAAAACTTGGCTTCATTAAAAGAAAACATCTCAAGATTTGCTATAATATGATCTGCCCAACAACAAATTTTCATTCCATCCCATAATTGCTCCACCAATAGAAACATAAGAACATGGTAATGGGTCACTAAAATCAGTCTCCTGTGGCAAATATATCATGCAATCTTGTTCAGATATTTGTCAACTACCATCTTAAGACAAGGAATTATTTTGCTGTCTCTTGTCCCATTGAAGGATGCCTTCCAGAGCTGTCATCTGACGGCTAGAAATAGTCTCCTAATTACTAGTTTGTACGTATTTAAAATACTCATCTTCCTATGCCTTTTTAGAGAACAAACACAATACCTCTAAGCTCCTGCTTTATTAATAAGCAACACAATCTCTTCTGGAAAATAAACTCTTCTGAGCTAAAACATACCTGAGTGCCTTCACACTTCCTCCAGTTTTAATTCATTCTCCTTTAGCTTTCTTGACCAAAATGGTAACTACGTTACAGATGAGATTACATCACTGCTTTCTATATCATTAGAAAGCTCATATGTCTGCTGTAAACACTGACGTTCCAGAATTTGGGGGTTTTTTTAGATACATCATATTGGTGACACGAATAGGTCTTTCTCCTGTGCAATACTGTTCAGCTCCCTGACTACAGCAGAATCCCCAAGAGTCTCCCTTAGGGTATGATCCTGCCTTTTGTACCATTAGATTTGATCTAATTTCTGCTCTTTCTTATTAATTATTTAAATGAAAGTTACCTTGTTTTGCCTGTATCAGATTTTGATTTTGTCCCTCTCAACTGATGAGCCCTTTCAACTACATATTAGCAGCAAATTTCATTAACAGGCTCTCTAGTGTCTCAGGTTTTAGTGAAGCAACTCCCATCCCCACCCGCTTCCACCACTCCAAACGAGATCAATCCCAGGCCTAATTCTTCAGATCTACTAGTATTTTCCTTTCACTCAAACTGCTAGTTCCCTTTTAGCCCTTATTTACCAGTTTTTAAATTATTATTCTAATCTGTATCTTTTCTAATTTCCCATGTGGTGTTACTGAAGTCCAGATGGTTTAGATCTGCTATGTTTCCTCTGAATAATAGTAATAATAATATTGAAAAGAAAGATTAAGAAGTTTATTCTGGCATAATATGCCTTTGATAAACTCATCTTACAGCACACTCCATTTAGCTACATGTCCATTCTTTCATCCATGATTTCTTGTAAATACTTGCATAAAATTCATCGGAGGGTGATGGCCCAGTTAACATATCTGCTCTTCCATCTGTCTTAAATGTAGGTTCTATATTTATTACTCTTAGGTCATCTGTTACTGCTTTCAGCTTCAGATATGTACTAAAAAACCCACCTCGCTCTGAGATTGGGAATTTCATGTCCCATACCATTCAATATCCTAAAATAGAGTTTTGCAAACTTGGCTCGACTTTTCAGCAGTTTTCACTTGATCCTGACCCTTGCTGAACTCTGACATGTTGATGTTATTTTTCACCCTTCTGTTGCAGGTTCTCTGCTTACTCCTCACATTTTCTTCCCCGTGACTCACTCGCTCAGGTCTGCAGCTCTCCTTTCAAGTTGTATTCAGAGCACAAAGTTCCACTTATTTTTGAACCGTTGAATTAAATAAATCCCAAAGCTCCTTTACATGCATGTTTACTACTTCCACGTTTCACTGACCAGCTTTTCAGAATTTCTCAAAGCCTGGTCGTTTGAAGCAGAAAACCTTAACCACCGTCCGATCCTTCCATCAGTTTAAGATGAACCACTGGTCCAGTTGATCACTGCCCAGCAATGTCTTAGAAGGATCCAGTTCTTCTGAAATGTGCTCAGTACTTATCAAACTAAGAAGCTAATAGCAAGTGTTCCTCTTGGTTCAGCAACTGTTTGGGTGCTTTCTACCACAGGCTGTTTTCACACTCAAGTAACATTTGAGCCACACCCATCTTTGTGTCATTTCTTTCCCAGTTTGCTCCAGGAAAGCTCCTCTCTCCCACAACAAGACATGAAGTAATATTTCTGTCTTTAATAACATTAAATAAATCTCCACCTATATTCAAATCTTGCCAGAGGTGCTAACGGCAAACACCCTATATGCTATTCCACTAACATTTTGCTGCCTAAATTGATTTTGGTGGGCACAAATTGTTTTTATGCATTTATACATTTCTTTTTTGTTTTGCCTCACCCTGTGCTAGTATGGAATGATTTGGATTAAAAGAGATCCTTGAGTTGCCCTAAGAGTGCTGAAGGGTCCCAAACATGCATCAGAGACACATCCCAAAGATCAAGGACAAATGATATGTTTTATTATTCCGTCAGGAATTTTTGAGAAACAAGCATTACGAATCCAGTGAACTGCATTTCTCTTTTGGATAATTAAATGGACTTCTATACTTTATTCTGTTTAAGCCTCAACTTAAGTTGAGGAGTAGCGAGACTAGCTAAAGCTGTCAGTTCATAGTAGGAAAAATATTTCTTTACAGGTTTGCTGGAGGAACTTGGTGGGAAAATAGTTGACACTCAATATTAGGGATTTGTTGGGGGATTAAAAGAGAAAGAGAAAGCGAATGTCAGACACTCACTTCAAAGCACTTATTTCAAGGAAAATGCTAAGGAGGAAAGACATTGCTGAGATAACATTAGCAAATAGCCCGAGCATAAATGACATGAATAGAAAATCTGACATGTGAATCACAAGGGGAAGGGATAGCAATGTGTCATGTATTAAGAGAAATGAGAATATAAAATTGTCCCCAAAATAGGCCCACTAGGAAAACATACGTGTGGAAAAGGGAGAACGTCAGTGCTGCTGATAAATTTTGCTGAAGAAGAAAAAAATTTCCAGTGCCTTCTCTTATTCATGATCAGATTTGTACCTTAAAAATAGGCTACACCTGACCTCCAATTCCTACCAAACAAAACACTCCCCTTCTCGAGGTCCGTAATTTAAATTCAAAGCGCTAGTTTTAAGAAAGGGTTTAGAATCATGTGTATAAGGAAGTGGTTTGGGATGATCTTTCCATCTCTCTCCTATAAATCCTGAGACATCAGAAATTGGCCTGGTGTAGCACTACTGCACTTCAAAAGGAAAAAGCCGAATTCCAGAACTGGCGGTCTGCGTTCCTCTTCCAACAGGATGCTTCTGTGGTTTCCAACACGCCCTCCAAACTGGGGTCACTCTGGAAAGCTGCCCCCTGTTACTTTTGTTTTATTAATCACCAGTTTGGCTTTTTTTAGATGCGGATAGATGGATTACACCTCTGCCTTGCAAAAGACATGCTGTATGGCATGTGCTCTGCTGATGAACAGCTGCTTACTGGGGATGTGCCGATCAGTGCTGAGAAATGAGCGGATGCCAACTCGCTAAAATATTCTGACTTGCTGGATGGATTCTGAGTCTCTGGCAGGCAGAGATCCCTCCTATATGTCAAAAACTACGTAAGACTGTATTGATAACTACTCAGTAGAAAAATACTATGTTCTCTCTCGCTCTTTTGGGTTTTTTTAGGATAATGAAATATAACTATCCAGCTAAGAATGTAATATATAAAAGCTGGTATACTTTTTTGCTAACATTAACTGATTAACTACCCAGGATCAAAAGTCAATCTAAGGAGAAGCTAACTGGCAGACAGATTAGATAAGGACGCGTTCTTCTGAGATATGTTGATGAACGCACAGACTCCCCTGGTTAGAAGGTCTCTGAAAATTGTTTGGAAATAATCCTAAAATCCCCTCCAAAGTACCCAGGGTAAGGAAGTTATGGATCCCAACAACTGGGAGTCAGCCTCCTTCCCCCAGTCCCCATAATTTTAATATGCATGAGAGCTGATGGCATGTGGGAACAATCAATGAGAGAATGACGGCTGAGTAAAATTTCGCAGCAAGCTAGTAAAGCTCTGGCCTAATTCAGTCACACCCTTTACAAGTCTGGGTTTGGGGTCCTCCCCCCACCGCATGGACAGACCAATAGCATAATTTTCAATTCATTTCCAGGCTGGACATTGTTGTTTGTAGACACAGGCAGATCTCCGAGAACTTCAGAAAAATCTCCAAACTTAGAAACAGATTAAAAAATAATCAGCAATTTTCAAAAATACTAATACAAATGTTTACTAAAAAAGTAAATACACAGATCTTTTTACTCCTGTATTTTTTAATAAATATGCTACATTCTCTCAGGGATAATTGAAGTAATGCTCACATGACCAAATATCCACATGCTTTGCTCTATGTTCATTTTCTGAGCATGCAATAGGCTTTGGCAAATTTTTGTTTAAAAGAATGGGGATTTGGAAACTCACCAAGATGAACTTCCCAAAGAAGATCCTTGGAGAAAATATGAGCCTGTCTATTGAAAATATTTCCACCCTCTGAAGTACTGCTGAAATAATTGTTAACTCTTTCAGAGCTGAAAAGGGGATCAATATTATTCAGATATTCTACACCCTCTTACTCAGAATATGGTTAAAAAAAAAAAGGAAATTTTATGCCCTATGTCACACATCTATTTACATTAAGTACAAAATAACTCCTGTACTGTGAACATAAATTAGTATTACAGCCCCCGACAATAGTGCAACTATTTATCAGTGAGACACTTAAGTTCTGGGCAGCACTTTCATGCATGTGTAAGTATCAGTAGATTCATGTGACTTCCTAAATCAAGGCCTTTAACTGAAGCAAATTTACTCTCTGATTACCTATTAGCAACCTTTGGGAAAATCTTTTATTGGCTAACTTTTATTACTTTGAAGCTATGAGAATACAGAATGGATGTGCACAGTGAAACAGACCACTTACTATTTGCACATAGTTCTATTTTGGACACTTCCTACTAAATGGTGAAAATTAAGACGATTATTTCAATTTAAAAAGCTGCTCTAGTTGTTGTTAAACACCTATAATCAATTTCCAAGCATTTAGCAGTTTTATCATCATACATGATGATACAAGAAGGGTAAAAATACAGTCATTCACACACAAGAGAGAGCTAAGCAAGTTCTTAAAACTGTGATAAACAGCTCAGAAAAAACAATACAAAACTGCGGGGATATCAAAGAATGGTCAGAAACACATTACCAAGCAAATACACAATATTTAGAAATTTGTGGAAAACTGTTTCAGTTACAAACTGTAGTTAACATGGCAAAGAAACAAGAATCTTGAGAATTTTATACAGAGCAATGGTAAAGAGCGCAAACACATGTATTTCTATCTGCTGTTCCTTACATCGAGTGTATAAGATTGTTTTAAGTAGTAGTAAATGTTTGTTGGCTTTAAGGAAGAGAAGTGATACAACAAAAAAGCAATATGTGCCTAATTAAAACCAAACTGCCACAGCCTAAAGCCTACAATAAGTATTTCATAAAAACTCTACAACAAACAGATTAAGAGGTTTTGTAAAGCAGCTGGGTTTTGATAGTTGATTCCAAGAGTGCTGCATTTGATTCCAATATCATGTTAATCTAAAAAGCATTCTTGAACTACTTAAAATCAGTGGTTTATCATGCTGCATTGGTTTCCATCTGGATATAAAAAATTATGAAGAAAACCAGTTTATAAAATGGATAAAACATAAGCTTTTTTTGAGTACATCCATGCTTGCTTGGCACGGAAAAGGCTAGCTATCACACTCATTTGAATTCATCATGTTTTAAATAATCAACATATCCTACCATTTTGTGTGAGTTTAGTGGAGCAGAGAAAGGACGTAATCCAGAAGGACTCTTTAGTGGTTTTTACTGCTTGGCTGTTGTTTCCTAGGAAAATTCCCTTTGAAAAGGGGAGTTTGAGGTAGCGACCAGAATCCTGAAGGTTTGTGTTTTCTTCACACTGTGAAAACAAACTAGTTAAAATAACTGTACTGCATAAAAACAAAGGACCAAATCCTTAAATTATATGAATTATTATTGTTTCTCTGCCAGAAACTGAAGAATTTTCACTATGCCTGTTGCAACTTTGTTTTTGGATCATAGCTTCATATCTGACATGGAAGTCTAACAAATTTGCACAGGTTATGTCAAATGAATAGCTACAAATTTTGGTGTTAAAATCTAAAATTTATCTGGGAGCATATAAAATCCTCCGAAATAAGAGATAACTGTTAAATGTGGAATGAAAATTCCACAAAACGGAAATATCTCTAAAACTGATAACATTGAGTAGATGTGCATAAATGAGTTTGCTTGATTTTCCAACTTCAGCCATTCAGTAAGAGGGTATCATGGGGTTCACTTTGTGTGTTTTAATTGAACTTGGCTTTGTGAAATCCATTATAAATACAATGTAATATAATAGTAAGACATAGTAAAACCAGTGCACTGAAACAGATAACTAGATTCAATTGCAGTTTGTAACAGGAAGCTTAATATTAAACAATCAGCAATGGATATTTTAATGGTAACAAGATTATCACTCATTCGGTAATGAATGCAGACTTTCTCAGCCTAATGTTTCTGGGCATTTAAAGTATGTTCCAGAGGAATCATTACAGCTAATGATTACTAATTCAAATTACCTTGTGTACAATGAGTTCATGGGTGCCATCTGGCAGAGTCCTCCCATTTTCCTGCATCAGGGGCACGAAAGAAAAGCCAAACAACTTCTTCTCACCCTTTTCTTTCGCTGAAATACATATGTAAATAGCAGCACTTAAAGTTAATATTATGCATTTTAGACAAAATAAATGGATATAATACAATATAAGAAAGTATACTGGAAGCTATTAGCAGCTAGTGAGACTAAGATTATCTTAAATTTCTTTTCAGATTTGCGCATTATCTACTGTAATAGTTTCTTTTATCTCATGGTAAATCAGGAAGCAGTATTCTGGAATGATTTGGTATTTATTAACAACAGATAATGGAAGCCACCAAATATGCAGTCTTAGCAATATATAGAATACCAGGAAACACAAATAAATGTGACCTAGCCAGTCCAACATAAAGAGAAAAGGAATTTTTTGTGACAATTATTCCCTATAGTAGCTTCTACCTACTGGTCTCCATTTTAGGTCAGCCTCAGGCTACACTGCACTTCTATTTTCAAATAAGGCATCTGCCTCTATAGATATGACTGAAGATGTCACTGGTCCTTACATGAATGTTAGACAGCAGATAACATTTTCAAACTTGGATGCCTAAGCTCAAATTCCAAAACTCATCTATCACCTAAATATAAAGCAGACTACAAAACACTGAAATGGCACAAATTTTCCTGAAGCCAATGAGTGCAGATGCTCAACACTTTTGAAAATCAACCAATTTTTCATCAAATGTGTATATATACAACTTAAGAGTCCGGTTTTAGCACAGTTGGGGTGGTGTAGGCAATCATAACAAAAATATCCAACTTGTAGTGCATGGGAAAGATTGTGCAAAAATGTATCAACTGTTTGAAACATACCACTGACGTTTTTCCTTTATTACTTCATAGCTTATAAAAGAAATCTTAAAAAGAAAAAAATGCAAATTTCTTCCTTATGTACCCAAAATCTAAATATACTATAACTTACTGTGTGTGCCACTTTCCACAAAGGCAATCTAAATAATCAAATCTTGCTATACCGACATCACCAAAAAGAGCCAAACAACAGCAGCAGTTTAAAAGACGTACAATTTTATCCACCTTTCTCTACAAGCTTGACAGCAGTCAGCACCATAGCTATGAAACCTGTTTCGCATACCTTGGTATGCAGTACGTGAATCCAGACGTCACTTTTTACCTCAAAATCATCTCTAAAATTGTTCAGAATGTTTACAAAATTTTGGAATTTTATTTTATAAGTAAAAAAAAAAAAAAGGCAATACAAAAGTGATGTTAATTGACTGTGATGTATCTACGTACATTTCCCATGGGTTGGATTGCTAAACATGTACTAAGGAACAGGTATAATTTTGGATAATTTACCCAGTAAATTCTAAATTTGCATTTTGAATTTACGTGAAATTCTTTTTACATTTGCAGCTGCAATGTTGTCTATTTCCATTTAATAAAACTAGACTGGTTTTTCCTGGAATTTAGGCTTTACCAAAGCACTGAGTTCCACCAAGCAGAGCTGCAAGCCTGAGAAGCTGTGTCATTAAAGCATTACAGAGAAAGTTCATGCAGCTGTCTTTTTCCTGAGGTATTATGGAAACTCATGTGCTGACTGCAGCTGTAACGGAGAGAACCAGCAGAAGTCGTGAACAGCGCTTACTGGAACAGTGCCGGAATTCACAGCGGATGTGTGCTCCTCTGAATTTATCCACAGGAATAGGAAGTTTCAGCAGCTCAGCCCATCTGGGACCATTGTTATGATAAAGCACAAAGGAATGGTACTCGCTGGCTGGTGGCTCTCCAGAGCCAAATGAGATAAAATCCTAATGAAGAAAAAGTATTGATTAGAGATTAAAGGCAGATTAGTTCACTGGTAAGATGTTATCAAGGACTGTTCTTACAAGGAAGACTATTTAATATTTACATTCATATCATAAATGCCACATGTGGTATCATGCTCAGTATCTTTAAACCCACAAAAATAGTAGCACTTTGTTAATATTTGCTGATTAGAAAAAATGGCAAGAATCATCCACACTGATGAGAATCAAAGTATTATATAGGGAGAACTGGGTGATCAGGAAGGCTTAAGCAACAAATGCGATGTGAAGTCCCGTGACACAGCATGGTCCATCCAGTGTTATGCCCAAGCAACAAACAAGAACGTAACTGAGACAAGAACAGCCCAGACTCATGACCTTTAGTCCTCTGAAATAAGCCTGTAACCCTGCTGTTATCAGTGATACGTCCCAGCATGAAAAAAGAAAGAAATCTGGATTCCTGGATTAGGAAGAAGCAAAGTGTTCGTTGCCTTTGCAACACCCATGATGGTCTCTCCATATCAAAGTAGGCAAATGGATTTTTCTAAGTCCTGACTTGGGGATACCTATTAATTCTCTGTGGGAAAGGTAAGCTGTAGCTCTTCTCCTCAGCAATTATAAGGGATCACCTCTGCATCTCGATATCCTTTATTTTTTTACATGTGTATATATAAAACAGATATATATATACACACGCACACATATATATTGTGCAAATATGACGTTTATGCCATGCATTTCTGTGCACAACCTCACTTCACATATATGTGCACGCACACACACACACAATTTGCACCAGACTACTTGTGTCAGCTTTTCTTCATTTTGTCCCTCCACAGCCCTCAACATCATGTAGAACATGTGAAAAAAGTACTTTCAAATAAAAGGAAAAAAAAAGATGCTAAATATGTATGGAAAAGGTTGAAGGTAAACAGAAATCTTTTGGTACAGAAAAAAATCTGAGAAGTAGTCATCTATTAATAATTAAAATATAAAACAGTGCCTGTTTGTGAGCTATCACCAGCAGTATGCAACCAAATCTGAAGAAAAGAAGGAACATTAATTTATTCTTTTCTTGATACACGGTGGTGATTTTTGCATCAAGGATCTCTGATTTATTAAAATCAGACAAAAAATTGAAAATGATCAAAACACGTTCTGTGTAACATGAGGAAATGCATACCTACTAAGAAGAATTATTATGACATAAAAAATTCTCCAAAACTTGATCTTGCTTCAACGTTTTCCAGCATCTTAATGGAATCATTAGTTATTTGGTTGGCAATTATACGTGTTTATCTGAATCACGTAAGTGATCACAGAAATAAAACAAACATGCATTTTATAAAGGTTTTAAGCAAAGTGGAGATACTTTAAATATCTAAAACCAGCAAAAGATAAACATGAACTTTCCAGAGCAATTTTGTACTCTTCAAACAATGCCACAAAAGATGATTTACATCTGAAAAAGTGTATCAAAATTAACTGCAGCAAGGAAAAACATACAACAAAGATACCTTTAAAATTTGACCACTGCTGTCCACGACATGCATTGTCACTTCCACATTTCTGGCCACACTTTTCCCTCCTTTCTCAAATTCTCCTCTTTCTACAGTGATATATAAATCATTCCTCATTTCACCTACAAAAAAACCAAACCAAACCAAACACAAAGTGTGCAAAAGTCAGTTCAACTTTCTTACTTTTTGCTTTTAGTACTTTAGTAGACTTTCATCTTCTCTTCCAAACAAGGGATAGTATCACACCCACAATTTATCAGTATTTTCAGATTTTAAATAATAACAATTGTTTTCATAAACCAAGAAAACCAAGAAAGCTTCATCCCTCTAAAAGCCCAAGAGATTATCTGCCATACTAAACCAATTCTAGGGGTTTCTACACATCTGTTAGCTCTTTTTGGTCTTTACAGTGGCATCTCCAGCTATATCGAAGCTGGTGTCTAGCTTCACCTCATTTAATTCCTCTTTTAATCTAAGGCAATATTAATGTGTTTTCTTTCATTTGTAATCTTTACATTTCTCTGTTTAATGTCTCCTTGAAGAACTGATTGCAACTTTTTACACTTAATCTCAAAAGAAAGTGTATTACTTTGAAGAAGCAAAAAACCAAGAGGTTGGTGTTCTTTCCATTAGAAGGGCAGGCTTCCCAGATTGCTAGCATTCAAATCTGTCTTTCCGATCTAAAAGATCTCAACATATTTTACATTGACAGGGCGTTCTGAAGTTTTCTAGCAAAAAGTTAGCTTAGTTAGCTAATTTTTTGCTTGTTGGAAAGGCTTCTGAGAAATTAAAATCTTCATCAACACATTCAAACTACAAATCCAGTACAGGCGCTACTGAAGTGTTACATAGTATATACAAGTTATGAAATACTGCTAGCATGTTTAAATCGAAATTCTTTGTGCGTTCATAGATTAACATGCTAAGTATTCTGTCAGACCATAACCAGATCTTCTGGATGAGATCAATGGTAATTTTATTTTAGTTTCAGTTGACACAAACCGCAAAGTTTATAGCTGATGAAAGGAAGAAAGATTGTTTGGCAGCTGGGGGGGGGCGTGGGGAGAAGCAGTACTGGTGGTGACTGGAGTGGCATGGTAGGGAAGCCCCTGTTCTGTCTGAAGATGCTAAATCTATTTCTAAAAAGTGTAAACTAATCTAGCTCTGGACAAACATTACTAGAACTACTTGGATGCAATTGGCCTTTCCATGTGAAACACTAGAAAAATGAAGGATGAACAGCATCATAATTAGGAGCATCTTCTAAAATTCTAATTTCTAAATTTGGTAGAAAAAGAAATTGAAAATATATGCTTTCATCTAGTGAAATGCAAATTTAGCATAAAGGGAATATGCTCTTTTAATAAAGCAGATGTTCACTGAGCACTGGTGAAAAGAAATCAAGTATGACAGTTTTGTATATTTATAGGTGTACCACTTAGAAGTCAAACATGAGATGGATACTTGTACAGTGGGTAAAATTAATTAAAAAATATGCAACTGATAAATAATAAATGCATCTTCAATTTCTGTCTTCATTTTAATGTGCAAGCAGAATTTGACCTGCTTGAACTTTCCAGGATACTCTAATGTTTCACATTTCTTGCATTTATTTTACCGCATGCAACTCTCCAGTGATTTTTAAGTACCAGAAACAATGATCTTGCTACAGTCTTCTAATATTTTTATAACATTATTCCATCACTGTATGTAAAATAATTAAACGATTCCTCCAAAGCACAGCCTAAACCATTGCCAAATGAAAAAAAAAATGGTAAAAGAGGAAACTGCTATATTATCAAGCCCTCAAGAACCATATCCATAAAAAAAAGGGGGAAATCTGCTATTGTATTACCTTATTATCAATTATCTTCTGAAACAACTATGGACAGAGGCTAAAGTACAGCTAGACAGAATGAACAGAAACAAATACCAGGACCAGATGGTATTCACGTAAGAGTTTTGTGTGAAGTCAAGGATGAAAGAGCTGAATTACTAATAAGTGTGTGCAATCATTGAATCAATCTCTGGTTCCCGGTGGGAACCAAGTTCAAAACAAGCAAAAGGTGGTGGAATGGACAGCAAGATTTGTAAAAAAAAATCCCCACAATAGCAACCCCAAAACAAAAAACAAACACAAACCAAAACCTTTCCGAAGGATGTTGTGAATGTGAGAAATGTATAAGGGTTCAAGGGAAGAACAGAGAAGCTGTGGAAGGAAGATCTACTAAAAGATATGAAACAGACAATCACAAGCAGCTCAAGAAATCCCTTGAGCTGAAAATAGCTGGAGGCTGGGAGAGCATCAAGGAGTAATTACCATACATGCATATATGCATGCTCAGTTCTTACTCTTTCTTAGGTGTCTGTTTACAACACTTGGCTAGACGGGCCCTTGATCTGAATCAGTAAAGCTGTTTGTATGTTCATTCAGGTCACAAAATTACCCTTAAAACTACTAGATTCTGATTATTTCCACGTTACAGTAATATTTTATTGTAAAAGTTTTAGAAGCTAGTACAGTATGATTATCAAAGATGTTAAGTCCTTGCTTAGCATACGCTTATACTAGGATTGGTTCTAGTTAGTGCTGGCAGTTGGTCACTTTCAAGAGTCTTACATTCAGAAAAAATGACAACACACAATAATAAAAAAGAGAAGCTTTGTTATATAACTGATTTTAGCACACAACTTGTAGTTGCAGCAATTTCTCTTTAAGGATTCACCTGAATTCTACATGCATTTGTGCTACATTCAGTCATTATTTTTATTTATCAGCAAGGAATTATTTCAATTTTCCATGGGGTCTTCACAGAAATGTAACCAAGTAACTATTTCCACCACAAATTTCATGACCTAGCCCAGATGAAACTCAGTGAAAACCATATTTTTTCCTTTTTAAATAGAGTAAACTGTACAGGATTTAAATGAAAATGACACTGGAACAGATTGCCCAGAGTAGTTGTGGATGCCCTATCATTGGAAGTGTTCAAAGTCAGGTTGGATGTGGCTTTGAGCAACCTGCTCAATTTTAAGTTGTCCCTTTTTTTGGGAGGGGGAGGGGAGGGGGGGGGGGGGGATGATAGTCTTGATCTTTAAAGATGATATTTAAAGGTAGCTTCCAACCTAAACCATTCTGTGATTCTATGCAAAAATAAGAAAGCATTTCTAAAAGAAGTAATTAGAGCCTCACAGAAGTTAAGCAGGCTTTCAAAAACAGTGCCTGCATTTTAAGGTTTTTGAAAAGATCCAAACCCATTGAGGTTCACCTTATTAATTGCCAGAAGAAATCAAATCACAGGGAAAAAAAGACACAGAAGTAGGACGTACTTTCACAAATACTGTCCTGTTCTCCTCTTACAGAACCTTGGCAGAGTTTGTAATCAGTGTCATGAGGGGACAGTTCAGATTAATTTTGTCCTGATCTACATCCATTCAGGAAGCTGTACTCTGCTTTCAATGTCTCAGAGCAAATCAAGACACGTGGGTCACGTTATTGAAAGAAAATGCCAGATTTTCTCTATTATCATGCAAGGCAAATTAAATCCAAGAGGAGACGAAGCCTCTCACGCTACATTAGGAATAATGATGTTTTATATGGAAATGGATAGAAAATCAGAAGGGAGATAACTGAAATAGACCGGAAAATTAATCAAAAAGAATGTAAACTATGGGCTATATATCAAGGGTGCAGTCTGCATCAGGCAGATATAACAGCAACTTCCTTTTCTCAAAGTATGTGGCATAGCTGACATTTTATAATCTTTAAAAAAATGTAGGTTTTGGTTTAAATTTGGCCTTGTGTCTGGATTTGTACTCACACATATTTCACTTTTGGTTTAAAACAGATCACTACTTGCAACCAAAATGTAAGAAAACCAACTATATTGAGCTTGCACAGTTCAGATAAGTGTACTGGAACATTCAGAACTTAAAGCCATGCTCCTGATGAATTTTTGGCACAATATTTGTATGAACATATTATGAGTAAAAGCTTGCAAGATCAAAAAGTCAATGGGGTTGTAAAAATCAAGCACAAAGCCTTATCAGAAAATACTGACTGTGAAAAAGAAAATGTATTTGGAAAGTTAACTTCACTCTGGAAAGGAAAAAGGAAAGAAAATTATAATAAAAACTTAGACAAATATATTTGGATCCAAATTTAAAAAAATATTTCCCTCTCAATACATTGCTCTGGAGATCTCTTAATCACTTTTACTTCCTTAATGTAGAATTGCCATTGCTTCAATCTTCCTTAACAGAAATTTTCTCCCCAAAAACTGAGATTGTCTGTATAAAACTAAGTTAGGGCATTCTTTTGTGGCCCTCTTCCAGTAAAAACAATTCAAACATCACCAAATTGTTGAATTTATCTATATTCCTTTAACTGATCTTTTTAATTTATGGCAACTGCAATTACACAATCGATTACAAGAATATACACCATTTTGCTATGGGATCTTTGCCTTAACCAGTATACCAGACAGCTAATTATGACAGATTAAATCCTCTTGTTTTCACTAAGAGGGGCAATTACAGCCGTAAGTAGCACTGAAAGGGAAAGTCCTGCTGAGTATCTGAGTTCTGAGGTAGACTTTGGTGAGTACAAATGGTATCTCAGCTGAAGCATCTGCATGACTTAAATCTCTCCTAGGTGTATGTGTACTGAGATTTTTATACAGTCCTATACTTGACCACATGCAAGGAATTTACACTGAAACAAGAGAGGCACATCTTATACAGTACAGTATATCAGATTTTAATTACTGGTTGAAAACATGCCTATAGGATTGAATCTCAATCAGATATGATGAGACTTTAAACATGATGAGAAAAGCAACAGATTTATTCCAGCGTATATCCATGTTGAAAAATACAAAGTCCCCTCTTCTCTAGGTCTGTTTCAGTGAAAACATCCAATGGTTATTTTCAGCATGAATTTTGGTACAGGAATAAGCAACTGAAGACAATATAAAAAATGGTGCTCAACTTTAAGGTGACAAACCTACCTCTACCTGTAATGAAATTGCGTGGTATGAAAGATCTAGATCATTTGAAAGCATTTCTTTCAAAAGAAAGGGCAGCTCATTTTTGCCTGTTCTTATGGAGCATCTCCATCCCC